TAACAATATTATTATTAACAAAAATTGACATTTATATCTATTTATATGTCATAATTTATATAATAAAAATGACACACAAAATAAAAAGTCACAATCAATTTGAATAGATCTTACGTTTGGGCTTTACATTCAATTGAAGGCTATTTAATGGGATCAGTGATGAAGATATTTATCTGAAAGAAAGACATTAAGCCATAGATTAGATCACAAAAGTAAAAGATTTGTCACAAGTATTACATCACAAGTAAAGCCACTCTTGAATTGTCAGAACATTAGTTGCAAAAAGATTTTTATTGTGACCAATATTTTCACTAAATATTTTTTTGTGTCTTAAATAATAATAATATTGTTAGATATTTATTAAATTATCAAAAATAATAAATATTAACAGTAAGGATCAACATATTGTATGACATACAGTATATTATATAATATAATTTATATTATTATTTGTGATATACTGTACTCACTTTTTTTAAATGTTTGAATAAATGTTTACAACAATTCATTAGTTTTACTTTAACGAGTAGTAGTGATCGGGAACTATAGCCCAAAAAAGGGTTGTCACTTATTTGCTTATAATGACCACTAATTTGTAAACCATGTATGTCTGACATTATGGTTGTGTTTCCATTAATCAATGAATGGGCTGTTAATTCACAAAAATGTTAAAATTAAAGGCATTTTTTCGTTTGTTTGGAAAATTCAATATACAGTACGTCTGCAATACAGCTGTCATAATGGGTGTCAAATGAATAATAGATTTTCAGTACATTTGAAAAACAAAATGCAAATTATTCTCAAAATAGTTCACATTTTACATATGCAATGCTCTAACCAATTGTATTTAATATTTAAGTTAATTATAGTTATTTAATATTAGAATTATTCAAAAATGAAAATCCATTTGTTTTAATTTAAATACAGTAATAAATAAGTTAATTGTAATAAAATTATATATATATATATATATTTTGTATATTTCGAAAAAATCAATTTTTATTTAAATATTAATAAATAAATATATGTTTTAAAATTTTTTAGATAAGAGTTTTCTAATACTTTTTATTCCCAGAAAAGAGTTTTAAAATAAATAAAAGATAAGTATTTTAAAAATAAATGAGAGAGAAAATGGATAAAATTTGTTTAGATATTTGCATTTATTTGAGATAACATTTTATTTTATTTTATTTTATAACATTTGGAGCCAACAAACAGTTACTATCTTTTTTTATTTTGTGGATAAATTATACACTAAAATGTTATTTGTATTTTTTCAATTGCAATAAATGTTTATAGTTTACTATATATATTATGAAGCACTCAGAAAGAGAAAGAGAGAGAGAGAGAGAGAGAGAGAGAGAGAAAAAAAAAGTCACTGAAAATCCAACTCATTTGAAATAAATTATTCATTGAAAGTATATAACAAACTGATTGCTGTCTTGCTTTTTATGGACACAATATAAAGTAAATTTGTATTAAATATTTAACTCATTGCTAATTATCAATGAAATACAGAAAGAGAGAGAGAGAGAGAGAGAGAGAGAGATTTTAAGCAGACATTGAAGTTTATGGCTATCAATATATGGACAAAAATAATAAATTTAATTTTCAAATAATAAAACTATTTATTCATCAAATTGTATCATCACATTAAACATTTATGATTTGAATGATATTTCACGGGAATTAAAAACATTTTTAGCATAACATAGTAAGTGATATACATATAAAATAATTTAATATTTTATATACAAATACTAATAGTATTTTATAGAAAAATAATTTACGTTAAGTACAGTATATAAAATTATATGTATTATGCATTAAGTTATTATATACGGTATGTGATATTGAAAGCATTATAATAATAATACTTTTAATGCAAAATACTTTTTATTTTTAAAAAAATTATTATATTATAAATGAAATAGTTTTATTCAAAAAATCTTATATATTTAGTTTTACTTAACAAAAAAAAATTCTGCATATATTATATTTTTTTACACAAATCAGCAACAAAATAATGTTTAACTATGATATGCAACACAGAGATTGAAATTTTTTTATTATTGAAAGCATTATTATTCAGGATTTGAATTATTATAAATTTTGTTGTTATATCTCTTATTATTATTTATTTTTAAAATTTATATTCATTTCATGAGTCTATGATTTTTTTGAGGTTTAAGTGTTGGATTGACTGAATCTCCTTACAAATCAAATGGGATATGGATTTCCTTTTTTTTTAATTATTTTAAAGTCCTATTATTATTGTCAGAATAGGAGAGAAACATTTTAATACACAATTATACAATTGTATGGGAAAATTGAATAATACAATAAATTTCCGCATTTTTTTCTACACATTTAGAAACCAAAGAGTTGGATAAAAAAATGAATATATAATAAATATTTGAAAATATTAATTATAAAAATATATATCATTACTAATGAATAATAAAGTAAACTATTGTTATATAATACAATAAATAGTAGTCATAAAATTTATTGTTAATAAATTATAGAAATTTATAGCAATTTAAAAGTTTGTAGTAAACATTTTAATTGTTATTATTATTATTTAAACTTTTAATTACAGTATTAGTTAACTTATACAATAATTAAACTAACAGTACCAATTAAAATTTATTTAATATAATTATAAATAAATTATTAACTCTCATAAATTACAATTTCTATGACTATTTAATAACTGGTTGCAACAAACAAACAAAAATCTATTATTTTTTACAAATACGAAAAACAATAACAAAAATCGCAAATAAAACAATGAGTTTTACTATGTATACAAAAAAAGTCAATAACAAACAAAATTATAGTTGTTTTTCTTCAAAAATATATGAAACTCTAGTTAATAACCAATTGGTTAGGAAAACATCAGTTCATTCATAGTTCGTTGACTTTTAGTACTTCTCAATCACAGTGTGTGTGTGTGTGTGTGTGTGTGAGAGAGAGAGAGAGAGAGAGAGAGAGACGACATACAAGTGCTGACAGACCTTTTCGGTCGAGAAAAACGTGTTTTTCTTAGCCGCAGATTTCAGAGCTCTCTCTCTCTCTCTCTCATGATATGTGATAAAAAATTTTGACACAAAAGCCATAACAGAAATATAAAAGTATTTCTCTGTTTTTCTTTTGAAAGACTGATCCCAGGGTTAGACAATCTCCGAGTTTATGTATAGACTTCAGATATATATATATATGACTAAATTGTTAGATAATTATATGTTTTCCAGTTTAATGTATTAGAAAATACTGTAGTATTTATAAAATAAATTTGAAAAAATTATTCAATGTCTCTCTCTCTCTCTCTCTCTCTCTCTCTCTCTCTCTCTCTCTCTCTCTCTCTTTCATTACTAGTCATCAATTGTATAGCCATTACTTGTAGTAGTAATTTGTAGAGAGTTTACACTTTAGGAAAATTTCTCGTTTGTTTGCTCTCTGAGAAACAGCTGAGAAATTAAGTGCAAAAATGCCATAAATTTGGTGGATATATATATATACCGGTATATATTGTACTGTCTCTCCCATAATAACAAACATATAATATATATATATATATATACTGTATATTCAGTGGGATTCCCTGTAAAAAAATCTAACTTAATATTTATAAGAGTTTTTTTTGTGGAAAAACTTCCGCAAAGTTGTTGTTGTTTTGCTTTTGTAGCAAAAATAAAAAGTTATGGCAAAAAACTGCACACAAAAAATCTTATTGAAACAAAATTTTTTTAGTTTTATTTTAACAAACATTTCTCATCTCTCAATTTCAATGTCTTCATATATATATATATACAGTATATGCTTAATATAAATATAACTTATTTAAAACATTATTTTTAAGTGTGATTTAATAAATTGTTGTAGTTTTTGTTGTTGTCAAACAGTCAATCATCACTTTTATGGATAAATTTATTTGTAATTTAGTCTTAATTATCATCCGTCTATATCATTAATTTTTTATTTGTTTCGTGAATACATTGTGTGTATATATATATATGTCATTGATATTATGATTAAGTGCTTTATCAGCTCATTTAGTTGTCGTCGTCTAAAAACTGTTTATTTTTGACAAACTATTATTGCCTTTTAATAATCAACATAAACGCAACTATATCTCTATGTATATGTATAATAATAATAATAATAATATGTGTATCTTATCGTTGCCATCGATGGTTCAGAAAAGCTGTGTATATATATAGTTGACCCGTCATTTCCATGAGGCATATGATTGGCTTTTTTTCCTACTCCGACACAATGCCAAACAATTTGTGCGATCATTAGCTGTTGTGTCCATTTGTCAAACAAAACAGTTTAGTTATAGATATTGATAACCGTTTTTTTTCTTGTGTTTCATGCATGCATTGGATCAATGATTTTTGTTTTCAGCCGTATTTGTTGACATTTCAAACAATATCATTATCATTGTAGTGTTATCTAATTGTTTTTAGATCCCATTGTGATAATAACTGTTTATAAAGTACTAGTATATATATATAATGGCATTCAGAGGCCAAATAATTTGATAATAATGTGACCCCGTTTTTTGTTTGGTAGATTGGATATCAATTTGTGATCAATTTGTTTGCAAAACTTCTTTTATATTTCAAAAAAATAAATATATATTTCATTTTAAACTTGATAAAAAAAATTTGATTAAATTGCAATTTTATCGCCAAATATATTTATCGAAAAATTTCACACATATATAAACTATGTCTATTCTATATATTCATGTTTATTAAATTAATTAATTAATTATTATTTTTAATTTATTTATAATTATTTATTTATTAATTTGTTATTTATTGTATTGTTTTTTTAATGTTTAAAAAATGTCATTAATTAGCCAGCAATTTATTAAATGCTTAAACATAGCATTTTGTTGTACAATATTTTTGCCAATTTTATTAACAACAGCAAAACAAATTGATTTTAATAACAATAATAATAATGTATTAAACATCGACAATGGCATCAAAAATTCAAACATCAATACCAATACAATCGGCGGTACAGTTGTTGCCGCTGACGACACCAATAATCACGGCTTTTTGATGGACTTACTATCAAATGCTTTTCGTTTACTTAATTTACGTAAAGTTGTCAAAGAGTTACACTCTGGCAAACCGTCTACCGGTACCAGTGCTTGTATGTCATGCAAGTTTGGCTTTGCTATGGCCCAACATCTGATCCAGTTTGGCAAAGATAAAGAAGAACTTGGATCCATTGCCAACTATTTATGTACTACACTGGATCTGGCATCTGGAAGGGTATGCGATGGGATGGTCGACCAGTTGAAGGTATATATATATATATACAGTATATATATTTGACTAACAATTTATTATGTTGCTCATGATATAGCATATTATTTAGACAGCAAAAAACTTGACACATTATAAGTGTCATAAATTTGCATATTAAGCAAACATTGTTATCAAAAAGCACTTAATAATACTCTCTTAAATGTTTGCCAAACAAAATTGAATTATTATTAAGTTTGTTTTTTTCTGTTATATTATTAATATATATACTTGAAATTTATTTATATAGTATAGTATATGTTAGTATCTAATTGAAACATGAATTATACAGTAATCTTACAGTAATATATGAAACAAATATGAAAACATACACATAATATACAACAACAACAAATAGTTTTAATTAATTAAACTGATTGATTGATTAATTTTTTTTTATTTGTAGAGATAATGATATAAACAACAACATACAAAAAGAGATAAGGGTTTCCAATTACAACCCAATAAATTACTGATTAAATCTTTTAGATCACATATATATAGTAAACTTTAAGCCAAAAAATAATAGTATAGTAAAACATATCGTAAGCAAAATAGCTATATATTAATGTTCAATTTCACGGCCATTGATTTCAAACGGAAACCCGACATTTCAAACAACAAATGTATTGTTTAAGAAAATTATATATATATCTAAAGTAAATACATATAAACATATCATCTCTTAAATGACTTAAATGTTTTTTGAAACCTATCGGAGCGGAAACACAAGAGTCTTATATACAGTATATTGTTTTTAAAAGAAACAATTTATTGCAATTGCATTGTTTGACTTGAAATTATTATTATTATTATTACAAGTTTTATAGCTATCGATAATTTATAGTTTATGTAGTAGTAGTAGTAGTAGTAGTAGTAGTAGTAGTAGTAGTAGTAGTAGTAGTAGTAGTAGTAGTAATAGTAGTAGTAGTAGTAGTAGTAGTAGTAGTAGTAGTAGTAGTAGTAGTAGTAGTAATAATAATAGTAGTAGTACTGTACTAATAAATACTAAAATTTTGTCAATAATATCAATGGTGTATTTATTTTTAAGGATGAATTGGTTCAAATCATCTCTCGGATCAATTTCAGTCCCAACGAAATCTGTGGCTCACTATTAGGCGAGTCGTGCGCTAAAGTCTATAATCCTTTGTATAACTGGACGCTGCCATTAACACCAATAGCCAAACCAGTCCTTAAATCATCAGCACAGAGATCTCAGCCCAAAGTAAATACAAACAGCGATTATTATCCTATTTTGTGTTTGATTGCTATCAATCGACAAAATACTTAATACATTATATGATAACTAATTTTTGTGTCCAAAACGAAATCTAATCGCTTCCGCTGTTGTTTTTGTTTCCCTTTTTTCTTCTCTATTTTTTTGTAAAAAAAGTCGAGTTCTCCTAAATTAAGAGTTCTTCACTTATCTGATACACACGTCGATCCCCTGTATGTGGAAGGAGGCGATGCTGTTTGTGGGGAACCGTTATGCTGTAGGAATGCCTCCTCCTCGTCGTCATCTGCAATAAATATGCAAAACAGAGCCGGTTTTTGGGGCGACTATCGAGACTGTGATATACCTTTAAGAACATTGGAACAGACCTTAAAGTTTATTGAGAGTACACATCAGGACATTGATTATATTATTTGGACGGGAGATATACCACCGCATGATGTCTGGAATCAATCACGTGATGGTCAGCTATCTATTATCAAATTGGTAGCCAAAACTGTGCACAAGTATTTGGGAAACATACCGATCTATCCGGCACTGGGCAACCATGAGTCGGCCCCTATTAATAGGTATTCAAATCAATATATCTCTTATTATATTTTCAATTTGGTTAAAGAATTGTAAGATTGTTACGAAAATCTTTTTATTTATTTATTTTTATGTATATATATTATATGATAAGCACAGAAAATAATTGAATTAAAAACAAAATTATTGATTAGATTTAACTGACATACCCTTCCCTTTTCCTTACAGTTTTCCCACACCTAATATACAAGGAGTGCATTCAATCTCATGGCTCTACAGTGCTCTTGAGGTTTGTTTTCTCTAATAATAATAATATTACTATTATTATATTATATTATTATTATAACATTTTGTTTGAATAAAACATTAATTTACAACAAAATCCTTAATGTATTTGAATTGCAGGACATTTGGTCGCAATGGTTGCCATCGCATACATTGCCACTAATCAAAAAGTATTGTATAATAAAACAATTATTAAATATTTAAATAATACAAAATTTATTTTTACATTTACTATTATTATTATTATTATTATTATACTGCATTGCTGTACACTATGCACAATACACTACACCCTACTTAACATTTATAAGGATAAAAACAACAAAAATATTTTTCATTAAGAGTCAGTCCTATTTGACAAATGGATTATAAATTTAATATTCATTAATATTTAATATAATAGCAAAACAAAAATTTTAATGCAACTGTTTTAATGTTTCATTACATCAATATAGCGGTGCCTACTATGCAGTGATGGTAAAGCCTGGTCTCAAACTAATCTCACTAAACATGAATTACTGCAATAACCAGAACTGGTGGCTACTGTTGAACGCCACGGATCCCGCGGGACAACTGCAATGGCTTATACGGGAACTGCAGGCCTCGGAGCTCATCGGAGAGAAAGTACATATATATCGACTTTGATTATTATTATTGCATATAAAATAATTTAATATTTGCAAACCTTTTTAAATATTCATCAAGTTTTTGAATCATCAAAACATTTTAGTTTAATTATTTAGTAAAATATAGCAAACATACTGCATATATATATATATATTTATATAAAATTTTCTAACAAATACTATAGTTATTTAATTGAATTAATATTTCTATCGAGAAATCTATTATCAAATGACTCATATAAATATTTTGCCTGTTTTTCGTCCAAACTTTTATCTAAAAATTTGATTTTTCACTATTTTAAAGGTTCATATCATTGGTCACATACCTCCCGGATCTGACGATTGTCTACAAATATGGAGCCGTAATATGAATCGTATAGTTAATCGATTTGAGGACACAATAACCGGTCAGTTCTACGGACACACCCATCAGGACGAAGTAGAGATCTTTTATGAAACGACAAGAGATGCCAAAAACAAAAACGGTGTTCACATCCGTCCAACAAATATGGCATATATCGGTCCCAGTGTTACCACTTTTGGTAATGTCAATCCTGGTTACAGGATATACACTATTGATGGCGATTACGATGAGTCTACTTATGAAGTACTCGACTATGAAACATATTATCTGAATCTAACCGAAGCCAACATCAACCGAGACTCGAAACCACTCGAGTATCGGCTATCATATACAGCTCAACAGGCACTGGGACTACAAGACTTGACACCTGATTCGTGGCATAAGTTGTTGTTGAAAATGAAAAACGATACCCAATTGTTCAATAAGTTTTATGAATATTTCTATAACAAAAGCGATAATATCGGTGATAATGTCTGCACCAGTAGACAGTGTCGTCGGGAAATACTATGTCGACTAATGAAAGCCATCGCTCACGACAACTATATTTGCAATAAATTCTTGTAATTTTTTGAATACAGTTATTAATATATTAATTATGTAATACATTGTTCTCAATTATAATTGTCAAAAATGTATTGATAATACATTTTACAGTAAATTATTTATCGAATTGATTTAATAAACCACTCATTTTAAACTTTATTTTTAAATATTTAGTTATTTTTTTCAATAAATAAACAATTTTTTATTTACAATTAAATGTTTAATTTTAATTATGTTGATAATTGGCTGAAATAAATAGTATTAATTAAATAATTACATTCATTTCTTGAAAAACCATTATTTTTTGTGTTTATTATTAAATATATATTGAAATAAATGACACAAAACTTGTAATAAATATCTCGAGAAATAATGTCCGAGACATCGATACTATTGTTGTGTTCGTATAAAAAGCAAAGTTTCCGTTGAATTGAAATCATTTATATTTAATCTTCCATTTCATTCACAAAATTCAAATCAATTGAAAATGAAAACCATTGCTATCGATGTCGAGTCTGAAGAGAAGAAGACACTTCCGTCTGGTGAAGAGCTGGGAACTAATGCCAATGAACACTATTGTTGTCGTACCTCAGGTCATACCATTGGAGGTAGAGGTAGTCGAGACCAGACGTCGCAGAAAGCATTCGGGAGGCGGAAGAAGTGGAAGACGAAGCCGTTTCCGATCCAGAAGAGGCCGATCGCGATCTGGTGACCGAAAGGGTGGTCAGAGTGGACCCAAAAAGTCTGAAGAAGAGACTGACGAAAGAGTCAAACGAGTCAAACTTGAGTCCAGAAGAGATTTCATACTGAATGAAATCAAGAATACCAGACATTCACAGCTTGATTTCGAAAGAAGGGCCAAAAAGATGGACAACAAAGTAGTGGATCTATACAGACAATACAGGGAAACTATGGATGAATTGGTGAACATTAGTCAGAAGAAAGATAATAAATGAGAGAGAAGACGAAGTGTGTCTCAGATTCAACAGAAGATTCAATGAAATAGATTTTTGTCAAAATTGTTATTTTTTCTATTATTTATATTTCAAATAAAATACTATAAAAATTCAATTCAATTTGCATTTAATTTCATTACCAAATGTTAAAACAAAATATTTTTTATTAAATTTTGTCTTAAATTATCATTGAAGTGATAACTCAAGAGGTTTTACCGTTAATTTCTTATGAAAAAGCCGTTAATTTTTTATTCAATTAAATCCGTTAAAAGTTTTTTAATTTAAATTTGAATTATTTGAAAATCTCGTGTAAATTATAATTAATTTAGTATTTATTGATATAATAAATTGATTAACACATTGAAGCCAGAAGTGGACGGCTTCTGGTTTCAAATGTCATCAAAGGTTAAGACAATAAAGGATTTGAAATCAGAAATCAGCGCTCATTTGGCTAAATATTATAGACTTGCTATCGATAGCAATCAATCGGATCTCTTCACAAATGGTGGTCAACTAAATGATTATTTATCGTCTGATATCTTCACAACTCATGAAGACATTGAAATCAGACGCAACCAAAGCGTCGGTTTAACAAAGACTGAAGAGATTGAAATAATACAATTGGACGACGAAGTGGACACTAATTCAAGTCATCAACTGATCGTTAAACAAGAAATATCTACTGAAGTGATTGTAAAAAATCCAATCAATTTAAGTCAGATATTTACCACAAGTAATGAAATGATTGAATCAGATGATGGCAATCATGTATTCGGAGTCAATCAACAAAATAAAGTTTTAGATGACAGCAAACCATTGATGACTAATAATTATATCGTCAGATCACAAGAATTGGTAAACAATTATTTGGATGACATATCAGATAATGAGTTAGAAATCAATAATTTGAATGACAATCGACTTGTAGTGGAAAATGTCGACAACTCTAAGGTCAGTGAAGACAATAACTCATTTTATCACAAGAATAATCAAATCATTCAATTGGATAACGAAATGGACACTAATGTCAGTCAAGAAGTGTTTACTAACGACAATACAATCACATCTAATAATAATAATAAGCATTTATTAACACAAATATTATTAAAGTGATGGAAATGGATATTAACCATAAATCTGAAGTTAACCAACAAAACAATAGTGAAGTTAATGTCAATAATTATAAATATAAACTATAAATATAATAATTAATTAAATAAGTATTTTATATAGAAATAGATGATTGTGTGGTTTGTTGTATTAAATCATAGTTTATGATAATTGTTTTATGTCTTACAGTTTTACAATCTTTGCAAACAATTAATTGAAAAATCAAAAAAAATATCAATAAAGTTATGAATAAAATTGTAGAGGAAAAAAATTATTAATCAAATAAAATAATTTTATATATATATATAAATTATATTAAATTACATTTTGTCTAATAATATAAAAGTATTGATCAGAAAATACATAAATGTTTGATATATTATTTGATATATGACTTTTCTGGTTCATTATCATTAGGATTATACTAAACAATCAATTTTTGTTTGAAAATAGTTGTAATTATAAGCATTAAAATTTTGTATTTATTTTTGTATAATAAGTTAGTTTAAATTATATAGTATACTACTGTTAATATTACCCAATAAAATATAAGAAAATCATCATTTTGTATATTATTATTATTATTATTATTAAAATATATTAATCTTTCGACTGAATTAATATGTGTAACATTTTCTGACAAAATATTACTAATAAGTTGTCTATTATTCAAATCAAATAAATTCATTGAATTTCTATTGAGAATCCAATAGTATGAACCACTTGTCATAAATATTGATCCATTTTTTAGTTTAGTTATTGAATCAATTTTGATGTCATTAATACATAAATTGTTTGTTTCATGAAATTCAATAGCATTTAAATTGATAATTTGTTTTAAATATTTTTATATTTTAATAATTTACATACATTGGAAAGTGACAGTATTTTTAATTCATTCTTTTAAATATTTTTATATTTTAATAATTTACATACATTGGAAAGTGACAGTATTTTTTAATTCATATGTAGAAATAATATCTTTAACATATTTTTATATTTTAATAATTTACATACATTGGAAAGTGACAGTATTTTTAATTCATTCTTTAAATATTTTTATATTTTAATAATTTACATACATTGGAAAAAGTGACAGTATTTTTAATTCATTCTTTAAATATTTTTATATTTTAATAATTTACATACATTGGAAAGTGACAGTATTTTTAATTCATTCTTTAAATATTTTTATTTTAATAATTCATTTCAGTATTTTTTATATTTTTATATTTTAATAATTTACATACATTGGAAAGTGACAGTATTTTTAATTCATTCTTTAAAAATTTTTATATTTTAATAATTTACATACATTGGAAAGTGACAGTATTTTTAATTTTTATATTTTAATAATTTACATACTGGAAAGTGACAGTATTTTTAATTCATTCTTTAAATATATTTTAATAATTTACATACATTGGAAAGTGACAGTATTTTTAATTCATTCTTTAAATATTTTTATATTTTAATAATTTACATACATTGGAAAGTGACAGTATTTTTAATTCATTCTTTAAATATTTTTATATTTTAATAATTTACATACATTGGAAAGTGACAGTATTTTTAATTCATTCTTTAAATATTTTTATATTTTAATAATTTACATACATTGGAAAGTGACAGTATTTTTAATTCATTCTTTAAATATTTTTATATTTTAATAATTTACATACATTGGAAAGTTTTAATTCAATTTTTGGTTTTTAATAATTTACATACATTGGAAAGTGACAGTATTTTTAATTCATTCTTTAAATATTTTTATATTTTAATAATTTACATACATTGGAAAGTGACAGTATTTTTAATTCATTCTTTAAATATTTTTATATTTTAATAATTTACATACATTGGAAAGTGACAGTATTTTTAATTCATTCTTTAAATATTTTTATATTTTAATAATTTACATACATTGGAAAGTGACAGTATTTTTAATTCATTCTTTAAATATTTTTATATTTTAATAATTTACATACATTGGAAAGTGACAGTATTTTTAATTCATTCTTTAWAAATTTTTTTWTTTTAATAATTTACATACATTGGAAAGTGACAGTATTTTTAATTCATTCTTTAAATATTTTTATATTTTAATAATTTACATACATTGGAAAGTGACAGTATTTTTAATTCATTCTTTAAATATTTTTATATTTTAATAATTTACATACATTGGAAAGTGACAGTATTTTTAATTCATTCTTTATAAATTTTTGGTTTTTAATAATTTACATACATTGGAAAGTGACAGTATTTTTAATTCATTCTTTATAAATTTTTGGTTTTTAATAATTTACATACATTGGAAAGTGACAGTATTTTTAATTCATTCTTTAAATATTTTTATTTTTAATTCATTCAGTATTTTTAATTCAATCTTTATAAATTTTTGGTTTTTAATAATTTACATACATTGGAAAGTGACAGTATTTTTAATTCATTCTTTAAATATTTTTATATTTTAATAATTTACATACATTGGAAAGTGACAGTATTTTTAATTCATTCTTTAAATATTTTTATATTTTAATAATTTACATACATTGGAAAGTGACAGTATTTTTAATTCATTCTTTAAATATTTTTATATTTTAATAATTTACATACATTGGAAAGTGACAGTATTTTTAATTCATTCTTTATAAATTTTTGGTTTTTAATAATTTACATACATTGGAAAGTGACAGTATTTTTAATTCATTCTTTAAATATTTTTATATTTTAATAATTTACATACATTGGAAAGTGACAGTATTTTTAATTCATTCTTTAAATATTTTTATATTTTAATAATTTACATACATTGGAAAGTGACAGTATTTTTATTTTTAATTCATTTACATACATTTGACAGTATTTTTAATTCATTTTTAAATATTTTTATATTTTAATAATTTACATACATTGGAAAGTGACAGTATTTTTAATTCATTCTTTAAATATTTTTATATTTTAATAATTTACATACATTGGAAAGTGACAGTATTTTTAATTCATTCTTTATAAATTTTTGGTTTTTAATAATTTACATACATTGGAAAGTGACAGTATTTTTAATTCATTCTTTAAATATTTTTATATTTTAATAATTTTTAAATATTTTTATATTTTAATAATTTACATACATTGGAAAGTGACAGTATTTTTAATTCATTCTTTAAATATTTTTATATTTTAATAATTTACATACATTGGAAAGTGACAGTATTTTTAATTCATTCTTTAAATATTTTTATATTTTAATAATTTACATACATTGGAAAGTGACAGTATTTTTAATTCATTCTTTAAATATTTTTATATTTTAATAATTTACATACATTGGAAAGTGACAGTATTTTTAATTCATTCTTTAAATATTTTTATATTTTAATAATTTACATACATTGGAAAGTGACAGTATTTTTAATTCATTCTTTAAATATTTTTATATTTTAATAATTTACATACATTGGAAAGTGACAGTATTTTTAATTCATTCTTTAAATATTTTTATATTTTAATAATTTACATACATTGGAAAGTGACAGTATTTTTAATTCATTCTTTAAATATTTTTATATTTTAATAATTTACATACATTGGAAAGTGACAGTATTTTTAATTCATTCTTTTAAATATTTTTATATTTTAATAATTTACATACATTGGAAAGTGACAGTATTTTTAATTCATTCTTTAAATATTTTTATATTTTAATAATTTACATACATTGGAAAGTGACAGTATTTTTAATTCATTCTTTAAATATTTTTATATTTTAATAATTTACATACATTGGAAAGTGACAGTATTTTTAATTCATTCTTTAAATATTTTTATATTTTAATAATTTACATACATTGGAAAGTGACAGTATTTTTAATTCAATCTTTATAAATTTTTGGTTTTTAATAATTTACATACATTGGAAAGGGACAGTATTTTTAATTCAATCTTTAAATATTTTTATATTTTAATAATTTACATACATTGGAAAGTGACAGTATTTTTAATTCATTCTTTATAAATTTTTGGTTTTTAATAATTTACATACATTGGAAAGTGACAGTATTTTTAATTCATTCTTTAAATATTTTTATATTTTAATAATTTACATACATTGGAAAGTGACAGTATTTTTAATTCATTCTTTAAATATTTTTATATTTTAATAATTTACATACATTGGAAAGTGACAGTATTTTTAATTCATTCTTTAAATATTTTTATATTTTAATAATTTACATACATTGGAAAGTGACAGTATTTTTAATTCATTCTTTAAATATTTTTATATTTTAATAATTTACATACATTGGAAAGTGACAGTATTTTTAATTCATTCTTTATAATATTTTAATTCATTCTTTAAATATTTTTATATTTTAATAATTTACATACATTGGAAAGTGACAGTATTTTTAATTCATTCTTTAAATATTTTTATATTTTAATAATTTACATACATTGGAAAGTGACAGTATTTTTAATTCATTCTTTAAATATTTTTATATTTTAATAATTTACATACATTGGAAAGTGACAGTATTTTTAATTCAGTATTTTTAATTCATTTTTAAATATTTTTATATTTTAATAATTTACATACATTGGAAAGTGACAGTATTTTTAATTCATTCTTTAAATATTTTTATATTTTAATAATTTACATACATTGGAAAGTGGAAATTGATTCTTTATATTTTTAATTATTTTAATAATTTACATACATTGGAAAGTGACAGTATTTTTAATTCATTCTTTAAATATTTTTATATTTTAATAATTACATTGGAAAGTGACAGTATTTTTAATTCATTCTTTACATTTTTATATTTTAATAATTTACATACATTGGAAAGTGACAGTATTTTTAATTCATTCTTTAAATATTTTTATATTTTAATAATTTACATACATTGGAAAGTGACAGTATTTTTAATTCATTCTTTAAATATTTTTATATTTTAATATTTTAATAATTTACATACATTGGAAAGTGACAGTAGTATTTTTAAATTCTTTAAATATTTTTATATTTTAAATATTTTTATATTTTAATAATTTACATACATTGGAAAGTGACAGTATTTTTAATTCATTCTTTAAATATTTTTATATTTTAATAATTTACATTTTTACATTGGAAAGTGACAGTATTTTTAATTTACATACATTGGAAAGTGACAGTATTTTTAATTCATTCTTTAAATATTTTTATATTTTAATAATTTACATACATTGGAAAGTGACAGTATTTTTAATTCATTCTTTAAATATTTTTATATTTTAATAATTTACATACATTGGAAAGTGACAGTATTTTTAATTCATTCTTTAAAATACATTTATTTTTAATTCATTCTTTAAATATTTTTATATTTTAATAAAATTGGAAAGTGACAGTATTTTTAATTCATTCTTTTAAATATTTTTATATTTTAATAATTTATTTTAATACATTGGAAAGTGACAGTATTTTTAATTCATTCTTTAAAATTTTTATATTTTAATAATTTACATACATTGGAAAGTGACAGTATTATTACAATAAATAAAAAGAATTATTTACTATTAAATGTTAATTTTAATTGTTTATAATATGCCAGAAATAATAGTTAACATGATAATTTATATCAGTATTACGTAAATATTATTAAATTTAATATATATATATACCGTATATAAATAATAATAATTTATCCATTAGTAGTGTTTGTTTTGTTGATACTATAGATTATAATGTAAGTATCGTTGAATAAGTTTTGTATAATATTAAAAATTATTAAATGAAAAAGTGTCTAGGACATCCGGTATTCTCTAAAATATATAATGGCTATTTATAATTAATTGCTAATTTTTATTGTTTTAAAACTATTAATAAAAGCATCTAGCTAATCTATTGCTAATGTCTAGGGCCATATCACGCTGAAAGCACCGGTTCTCGTTCGATCACCGAAGTTAAGCAGCGTTGAGACCGATTAGTACTTGGGAGGGACACCACCTGGGAATACCGGGTGTCCTAGACACTTTTTTATTTAATAATTTTATTTTTTAATAATTTTATTTTTAATAATTTTATTTTTAATAATTTTATTTTTAATAATTTTATTTTTAATAATTTTATTTTTAATAATTTTATTTTTAATAATTTTATTTTTAATAATTTTATTTTTAATAATTTTATTTTTAATAATTTTATTTTTAATAATTTTATTTTTAATAATTTTATTTCTAATAATTTTATGTTTAATAATTTTATTTTTAATAATTTTATTTTTAATAATTTTATTTTTAATAATTTTATTTTTAATAATTTTATTTTTAATAATTTTATTTTTAATAATTTTATTTTTAATAATTTTATTTTTAATAATTTTATTTTTAATAATTTTATTTTTAATAATTTTATTTTTAATAATTTTATTTTTAATAATTTTATTTTTAATAATTTTATTTTTAATAATTTTATTTTTAATAATTTTATTTTTAATAATTTTATTTTTAATAATTTTATTTTTAATAATTTTATTTTTAATAATTTTATTTTTTATTTTATTTTTAATAATTTTATTTTTAATAATTTTATTTTTAATAATTTTATTTTTAATAATTTTATTTTTAATAATTTTATTTTTAATAATTTTATTTTTAATAATTTTATTTTTAATAATTTTATTTTTAATAATTTTATTTTTAATAATTTTATTTTTAATAATTTTATTTCTAATAATTTTATGTTTAATAATTTTATTTTTAATAATTTTATTTTTAATAATTTTATTTTTAATAATTTTATTTTTAATAATTTTATTTTTAATAATTTTATTTTTAATAATTTTATTTTTAATAATTTTATTTTTAATAATTTTATTTTTAATAATTTTATTTTTAATAATTTTATTTTTAATAATTTTATTTTTAATAATTTTAAAGATTATTTTGAAGTATATTAACTTTTTAACCTATGGTTTTACCAAAACAAAATAAAAAACTTTTACCACAACTAATCGATACATTATTATATACATATATTTATTGATATTTCAAAATAATCGTTAATTTTATAAACAATTTATTTTGTTTATTATAAAAAATTGATTCAATTGAATAACTATTATCACACACACAGAGACCCTGATATATAGTTGTCGGCCTTCAATAGATATAACGGTCTTTATTTTAGTAGATTTTTTGATTTGAATTTGTTATTAGTTATAAAAATTTTATGTTTTTTTTTTATTATTATTAATTTGAAAAAACATTTTCATAGCCAAACATATTCATCCATCCATTCATTGATTTGATTATTGCAATGATTATTGTGAATAATGTGCGACAAAGTGTTGAAAATCGTTGGCGGGATTTGGTGGACAACGGCAAGAGATTTACCGGTATATCACCGAATGTCGACCCAAACACACCACCCGATTGGTTCAATGCAAACAAATTTCGTAAATCACAACAATTGGGACGAAAATATTACGGAAGGTTTGCTTATATCTTATAATTTTTTTTTCATAATATGACTATTATTTGAAAATAGTTTAGTAATACATTATTATGTTTCAAATATTTTTTTTTATTTAGTTTACATTTAAATTTTTAATTTTTAAATAATAAAATTTAATAAAATTTTAAAAGTATTCAATTTTATAATACTAATAATTTATATTCAATATTAATATTGCAAAATAAACTAATTAATAATTAGTAATTATTAATAATTAATAAATTATTAGAAAAATAGTCATTTTAAAAAAAAATTATGCTAAATTTATAATAAACTAAATTTAGTTTATTTAAAAAAATTATATTGATACTTAGATTTTTTAATAATTAGTATAATTATACTGTATTTTTATATAATGCTATATAAATTATTAATAATTTCTAGTAAAGTTGTTAAAACATGGATTTTAAATAATTATAAATTCATCACTTATATTAAGCAATTCAAAGTTTATTATATCATTGAAGGTTAATAAAAGTAATACAAACAAACAAAAGTAAAATTTTAAAAAATTGATAATATATAATATAATATAATATGATAAACAAATTATAGCAATTTTGCAAAATAATTATAAACATAATAATAAAATGATGTCAAGGGCTCTATGAATATGTAACTTACTATAAATATTCCAAACTATTATAGAAAACATATACAAAGTTATAAATAAATAACAACAAAATTAATATTTATTTTTTTAAAAACATCAATTATGCAGTTTAGGATTTGGTCAGTTTTTGGGTCTAATGGTAATGTTATATCACACGGAAGCGTACGCCACACTGACCTCTACGGGACAGTCATCTAATGTACAGAAATTGTTTCGCCGATATTTGTCGACATTAGTTCACGTAAAACATTGGTTTGATTTTGATCCGTTTGATGTCAACAGTCAAGCTTATCAATCGCTAAAATATGTAAGAGGTTTGCACCGACAAGTGGCCAGTATGTTGACCACTAAATGGGAACGGATGGAAGGCCGGGACGATTTACCCATTTCCCAGTACGGTATGACTCACGCACAGTTCGCTTTTACCGGTTTTGTGGCTCTTTATCCCAAACAATGCGGACTTCATGGACTATCCGACGATGATTTTGATTGTTTGCTATACTTTTGGCGAGTGATTGGCTACTGTTTGGGATGCGATGACCGGTTTAATCTGTGCAACGGAACTGCCGATGAAGTGGTCGGATTGTGTCAGTTGATGTTCACCAGGGAATGGTATCCGTTGATGAGCGCTGATCTACCCGTGTGTGAGGGCGGTGTAGAAATGGCTAAAGGCATATGTCTGGCAATGAACCAATTGGCGAGATTTATCAGTTATGATGTTATCATGAAATACTGGTATCCAATACTCAGTATTGACAACAAAACAGTTGAATTGCAGACATATTCAGAAATATTCTGGTATTATATAATCAAATATCAATTGAATTATTTCAACAAATTATCGATTTGTCAGTATATGATGTCGGCTACTGCGAGACTATCATTGAAAATAGCTGTTTGGTTGAAAAATTTTAAATACAATTTACTGGCGAAACAATATAAGGATAAACAATACGATTATAATCAAATTAATAATAATAAATGTCCACTTAATGTACACATCGATATTGAATATAAAAATGTTTTTGAAGCTATTAAAAAATAATAATAATATATATATATTTTTCAAAATTATTTAACTGTACATAATTTTTTTTATTTTATTATTATTTTACATAATTTAAAATTTATGATTTATTAATATTTTTTTAAACAAAAAAATAGACTTTTGTAAAATATAAAATATATATACATCAATAAAATTATAAAAAATAATAATTAATAATAATAATGTTATAAAAAAGTATGCGAATATCATTTAGATAATAATAATAATGTGCGACAAATGGGATCGATATTTATAAAAAAAATCAATAAATAAATTTAAAGAAATGGATTTAATAACACCTATATTAACAATCACAACAACAACAACAATAATGATGATAATAACAACAAGAAAAACAACATCAACAACAATATCAATGGTGTAGACATCAAAATAATTGGCGATTTTGAGATCTTTTAAGATCCTCTCTCTCTTTCTCTTAATTTTCTGCGACCAAAAAAACCTTTGGGTTTGTGTTTCAATGGATGCAAAACTGTTAAATCACTTAAAATAAATTTCTTGCACTTCTGGTCACAGTATTCCGTATTTTTGACGTCACTCTTACGGTAATATAATTTATAATAATTCTGGAAGAAGTTATCATTTGTTTCAAACTTGTGGACCAATTCGTGCCACGAATGGGGAGACATAGATGTCAAGTTAAACGTCTTCATAGCCTTATACTCGGACACCCATTTCGGGCCTTTCTTTCCCCGATTGGCATCCGTTAGATTAAAATAGTAGGTTTCGTGGTCCACGAGATAGGAATCGGAGTCCATATAATAGAGACGATAGGATGGATTGTTTTCGGTAAACGGTGTAATACTGGGTCCAATATATGCCAAATTGATTGGCATTTCCGGATAATACGGTGAATACAGTAGCCGGAACTCATCCCGATGTGTGTGACCATAATATTGGGCCAAAACAGTGTCCTGATATCTATCGATAATCCTGAGAAAATTGTAGAGCCAGGCCTGAGTACACTCCCGATTGTCTGGCGGTATGTGACCAATGATATGTACTTTGTCGCCGTCTGTTTCCGCTTTGAATAATTCAGAGCTAAGCCATTTGAGTTGATTGGCCGGATCTACCGGATTAAACAGACTCCATGGGTTAAGTCGGGCACAATAGTTGGTATTAATGCAAACTATGCGAAACCCGGAGCGCGGCTTAACTGTATAATAGCCGCCACTTTGTATTGTATTTCATTTGATAAAAAATAAGAAACAAAAATGTTTAATTTAATTAATATTTATAAATTATTTTAACATATATACTGTATGTATGTATGTATGTATGTATGTCTCTAAAAAAATGCATACTATCTGAGCGTTTTGATGGCATCCTTTGGCAACCAATAATCCCATTCATCCGCCACTGCATTGTATAGCCATGAGATTGAATTATCTCCTTTGACTTCAGGCGGTGGGAAACTATATATACAGTATATATAATAATAATATTTTTAGATATAATTTTCAATGTGAATGACATATTTGAAAGACAATAAAAGTACAGTAATACTGAATATAAACTTTATGAATAGATTTATTAAAATTTGTTTAATTTAATTTTGTAAAAATGATTTTATTCTAACAACTAATTAGCATTTGATAAATAATCCCATTTTTAGTCAAAAACAAGTAAATTGAAATGATAAGTGAGTTTATACTGTATATGTAAATAATATATACAAATATAAATTATTAAATTTAAAATTTTATGATAAATTATTAATTTATGTCAACAACAAAAAAATTTTAAACTTAATAAATATAATTTAATCATTGACACTTATTTTCTACAAATTTTTATTTTTCAATGTTTAATTAGATTATTATCAATTATTATTATTATTATAAAAGTTTATGAGATAATGAGATCATTGGAGGACAAGAGGAAGTGTCATAATTAATTCATTGTCGACACATATAATGTATATATAAACTATAGAAAAAAGCTAATTAATTATAACACATAAACATATATTTTAATGATATATATGTTTTTATATATTGTATTTATACTTTAATATTTTGTATTACCGGTAATTATTTTGTCATAACATTTACAGTATAAAAGTTATTATACTATAAATTATTTTACTCATAAAATTTTACAATTGTTTTAACTATAAAATATGATACAAAAAAATCATGAATTTGCTAACACATAATACATATAATAAAAGTGTGAATAATCTATAAATACTATTTATGGCTATAAATATAACTATTGTTAATTTTGTCTAACTTTTTTGGCATTTAAATAAAAATTACTAACAAAACGTTTGTATTTTTTATTTTTAAAAGTTATACAAATATATACTGTATATAATTTGTTAGAAATTTATATATAAGATTATATATATTGTATACTAATTGTTAGGCAAAATATAGTGACAATTGATACGATGATAATACCTGTTGACTGGGACCCCCTCATGGTTGCCGATTACCGGATATACGGGCACTCGTATGTATTGTTTCATAAGATTTGTGACTAATTTGATTTGTGACAACACCTCATGTCGAGTCACGTTCCAGATATCGTGGGGCGCTATATCTCCCGTCCACATCCAGTACAGGGCCTACAAACACAATGGCATACATATATATATATCGATTAGTTGACATCATATTATTATTATATAAAACATTGCCATACATTTGAATGAACTTCTGATATGTGTTTCAATGCGTGTCTTAATGTCGATATAGGTAAGTCACAGTTACGGTAATCACCCCAAACACCGGCCGCTTTGTCGGCATTGATGGCCACACCATTGGACGATCGGCAGCATAAGGGTTCGCCACAATCGGCATTACTTCCTGGTGTATAATACGGATCGATGTGAAGGTCGGTCACCTGAACTACTTTGGTGTGCGACTTGAGTTTGGCATTTTCGATGAACTCCTCGTCTCCGGAGCCGTCCTCACGACGTTCGGCCATATTTTGCCTGTCGGGCAAAGCGATAGTCCAATTGAGGTTTTTGGTTGTTTTACGGGCGCAGTCCATACCAAATATGACTCCACACATTTCACCCCTTTTCAGTGTCGTATGGGTTCTGATATAATCGAGATCGTCCTATATTTTTATTTATTTATTTTTTTGAAAGGATAGTTATTTAATCATAAAATCACTTTTTTTGTATATACTATATATAATGTTAATTATATTTTTACACACAAACACTTTCACCGCTAGTTATCTTTTAAAATGATTTAAATATTTTTTATAATTATAAATTTATACATTTTTTCTTTATATCTATATAAAAAAAATAGTTTAACAGTTTAGTTAAATTTATGTAATAAAAGTTTATCATTTTCATTAATAAAGTAAATTTATAACATTTAGTGTGCTCTACTAAACTAACGATCTGTTTTTATTAAAAAGTTTATAATTTTTTTATTTAATTAATTAATAAATCTATTAAAACATTTAAGAGATGACTGTTTTGTTTATAAATTATTTTTTTATAAAAAAAAGATTCCTTAAATCCGGAAATATTTTAAGTAATATATTAGCAAAATATTTGGAAAAATATCTTTTAATTTTTATTGCTATATCTATTGATTTTTTTTATGTAATGTGATTTTCTAATGAGATATCAATTAGATTATTAACATAAAAAAATAATATGACATACAGTGTCGCACCGCAAATGTCGACACCAGAAATATATGTCATTAAAAAACATTTAAAAAATTTTGTATTATTTAAATAATATTTTATATTATTATTCACGCAATGAAATGTTTCCTCGTTTACTATATTTATATAATATATATTTTTTAATAACATAAATTTAAAAGTCATAAATTAAAGTAAACAAAATTATATATAAATTTTAAACGTTAAATAAAAACAAATATATACTGTATTATTATTATATTAATATTTACAAATTAATTATGGAAATTATCCGTCAAATTTTTAAAATTGCTATTTAATGTCACTTAAATTAGTTATTTAAATAATTTGTTAAAAGTTTCAATTAAAAAATTAAGTTTATTTTTAAAAGATTAATTAATTTTAATAATAATAATAATAAATATTTATGTAATATTTTAAAAACTAAAATACATTTAAAGAAAGTGTATGAATGAGAGAGAAAGTCTTAAAATAATTTTCACTTCAATTTTTACACTGAAATATGTAAAAAAAACCAATAAATGTTTTGAAATTTTTTTTAACCCAAATTTAATACAAAATACCTAAATCTAAGTCATTGTTTAGCTTAAGGGTTCTTCAATAATAATATAATAATAATAACTAGTTTTATAACTGATATATTATATTCAAATTTTGTTGTTGTTGTTGTTTGATATAAATATAATTTACATACAATTTGATTAAAAAAAAATATTTTTTGAAATATTAAAAATATGAATCAAAACGTGTAATTAATAATAAATAAAATAAAATAAATAAATAATTCATACTTTAAATGATTCAACAATTCCGGAGCAAACTCTTGGCGATTGTAACCTAAATGAAGTGCAGACAGTATTAACCGCTACTGTCATCATCTCCTTTGAGTAGATTGAGCTCAATAGTAGACCGGCCACAGCATTACAGGCCAAACACGAGGCACGGGATGATATGCCGTCACGCATCTGAACGCTTAGCTATTTAAAAATACAAACATATAAACAAAATAAAACAAATTTTTAATAAAAACAAATACATTTTAATGGAAAATTTTTATGAATATATATTATATATATTTGTAAATTGATAACATTTGTACTAAATATATATTTTTTTCATTTCAATAAAATAACAATTTTTTAAATCAAAAAAATCTATTTTTGATTTTATGATTTCATAAGTTTTCTTTCCAAAAAAAGAAAGTTTTATTTGATTTATTTATTAAGTTATTTATTATTATTATTATCATTACTATCACCTGCATTACTAAAAAAATGCTTTCCTGATTTATATATTATTTATATAATTTCCTCAATTATCATTCAATTATATAAATCAATCAAAAAATGTTTTTTTTTATTTATTTGATTAATTCAAATGAATATTAATTATTAACTTCCGATTAAATAAAAACATGTGTGAACTTACAAATGTAAATGTATTAATAAATATTTTTTTCTAAGTACTTTATTACATTTTTTAGCATTTTAACGACAAATAATTGATCCCCAATATAAAACATATTTTTATTGTACTTGTAAACATGAATATATTTAAATAAATGCAATAAATTTATATTTTATTATTATTATTATAATTATATATTTTTATTTATTTATTTATATTAGTACTATTAAAATTAGTTTATCTCAAAAACAACAACAAAAATAAATCTTAAAAATATCTCAAACATATTAAGAATATTTTAAGAATTTTATTAGAAATTTATTGCATTTAAGTAATAAATAATATCATAACATATCATATATATAAACAAATAACACCCTGATCATTAATAGTTTACAAGTAATAAATATAAAATTTATTATTTAAAAAAATCAAAAAATGCTATATTTAAAATATAATAAACGTTTCTTTTTTTATAAAATTATAATTTTGGATAATATCTTACTTATGTCAATGACTTACTTCAGTAAAGTTGACTGACTTAAGCATTCGCGACAATATATTGATGAGAAAAAAGCCCCGGGTTTTGGTGGACAGGGAGGCGGCATTTTTAGTATTGATGTCATTCATAATGTTAACCATTGACTGTAGATTTTCATTGGTATTCCCTTTTGTTTCAGATCTAGATTTCAATGAATCACTTGTATGGATGTCACCACCATTTTTGGCACCACCACCGTTGGCATTACTGGTCACTACTACCGGTGCGGTTCTATCATTAATCATTTGTGTGAATAATGCCCGTAGAAATGGGAACCGTCGGGGACCGTCACCGGGACCTTTGCCCGAACTGTAGACAATACTGAACTGACAGTCGGATGATTTTATTAGATGTGATACACATATTATCAAACAGACAAATAAAAACTTTATGGATAAGTAATTATTATTAATAATATTATTATTAAATAATAACATTATTTTTTTATTAATTTTAGTTAAAGTTTTTCTTTAACGGTTCAATACTTTTGGCATTTGATTTTATTTTGTTGTTGTTGTTGTAAGTTATAATAATAATTATTATTATCACTAGTATTATTATTATTATTAGTATTATTAGTAATTTGTAAAACACTTTATTTTTAACACATTTCACATATCACTAATCACTTGCAATGATTAGATTTTGATTATTAATATCATTATTGTTTGTTATATTCACCAGTGAATAAAAAATTAACTCTCAATATAATATTTTACAACAACAACTAAAATTATTTTATCTATAGAAGTGGGGAAAGGGATATATAGAGAGAGAGAGAGAAAGAGAGGAGATATAGAGGAGAGAAACTGAAAAGTATTTTAAAAAATAATAAAATAAAAATATAGATTTATTTATATATGTATTTTGTTGAACGACACAATAGCATTGGTGGTGAAAAAATTTGGTAAAAACTGTTTGTTTGGTTTTGAGATAGAGATTTAATGAAAGAGAGAGGGAGAGGGAGAGAGAGAGAGAATCAACATAGACACACACATACACACACACACAGCACAGGTATGTAAACAGTGTTTCTGAAAAAACGATTATTAATTTATTTTCTTATTTAAACTAATTTTTAGTGAAGCGAATGACCCATTTTCTTGGGACCAAAACTTACAGAAGGTTTTGCCTGTTTTTTAACTCCCTGAGCGCTCACGTACTCTCTCTCTCTCTCTCTCTCTCTCCCTCTCTCTTTCTCTCTCTCTCTCTCTCTCTCTCTTTCTCTCTCTCCCTTTCCCTCACACATACGCACAAAATCATTAACTGACTAATCAATGCAATTTTGAAAGAGAGAGTGAGAAAGCAATAAGCGAGACAACAGTTAAAGTGATTTAAATTAAAAGGAAAAATAAAGTTATTTGGAAAGTGATTTGAAAAACACATATATCTTAATATTTATAGTGAAAAGATATATATATATATATATAGAAATAAACAGATACCGAAAAAAAAGTAGACTTTCCCGGGACTCACAGTTAATTAAAAGTGAAATTCAAAGTAAACATATGTTAGTTATTATATATGATCTCAATTATTAGCTAAAAGCCAAAAACAAAACAAAAATTACACATAAAATCATAGTATTATATAAATTTAAAGGTATAGTATAGTAGATTATGGGTTGGCATTTATTTTTGACGTATGCATTGCATAGACTAATGACAACCCATTGCTGTGATATTCAATAATAATATTTATACTAAATGTGTGTCCCTTTATCCTCAATTAAATCATCTCTATTATTGACTTTGTTAATAATACATGATTGTTGTTTTTTAAAACTATTGTATTTATAATAATAAAATACTATAAGTATAATAATAATAATAATAATAATACAAATAAGTTGGTCAACATTTAGTCACAAAAAAATCAGACTAAATATTTTTGAGAAATCTATAATTATATAAAAATAAATCTAATTTATCATTATTTTTTCTTTTCATAATTTTTTATATTATATATTTAATATATTTACAATTTATTTATATTGATAAACAATAATTTCTATAAATAAGTAAATAGGAGAGCGATATATAGCTTCCTAAAACGGAAACCTGAATTATATTCTTAACGTTTATATTATTATTATTATTATTACTACTATTATATATCATTTATTATAAATTATAATATTGTAGTTTTAGTTTTGAGCATAAATTATTAGCTTTTGATTAGTCTCTCTCTCTCTCTCTCTCTCTCTCTCTCTCTCTCTCTCTCTCTCTCTCTCTTTCTTTCTCTTTTTTTTTCTCTCTCTCTCTTTCTTTCTCTCTCTTTTTCTTTCTTTCTTTCTATCGATGCCTTAAAATTATTTGTATAAAACTTTTTAAATGTATATATTTAAAACTTATTTAACGTTAAATCAACAAATATTTATAGATATTATATAGTATTTATATAAATTATTAAAGTAAAGTATATGTGACATTTTTTTTGCTTAATATTAATATTAAAATTTTTATTTAATATACTTTAATATACAGTAACTGTAAGAAATAAAATAAAAAGTTTAGATATAAAATATTATTTACACAAAACGAGCTTTTAGTTTAAGATTGTTGCTCTATATTTAACTTTAATATAACACTAATAACACTACAAATATAATATAAATACAATATATATCTAAAAGTATTAATAGTTATGTAAATTTTCTGCCAAAAAAAAGGTAAAGATTTAGTGGCTTTATATAATTGTACAGAAATTGTTAACAAATTAAACGAAAGAAAACAAAATGTTTTTACTGAATGCATTATTTTGTTATAAACTACAAACAAAAATTGTTTGTATCCCCAAAAATATTATCGTATAAAACTTTTTACCAAAAAAAAATTAAATTAAATATTTTACTTTTAATAAACTAACAACTAATAAATAAAATGCTATTTAATTCAAATTTAATTTAATCTGCAAAAAAGTTATCCAAAAAAAATTAATAACATATTTAATAATGATATAAAGATAATAATAATAATAAAATGTTTTTTAATTATATAATCTTGATTTCTATATATTCAAAGTATAATTTAATGCATGCTTAAAATAAACTAAATTGTGTCATAAATATTTTCATCGCACAAAAAATAAAACATATTTAACTTGAATTACAACTCAAATTAATTAAATGATTGCTTAGTAACAGAATTTTTTTAGAAAATAAAAATTAAAAATTCTTTTGAAAAAAACATTAGTTTTTTTGTGTTGAAAATAACAAATTAATTTTTAAAATTAAAATATAAATATCGGCAGATATTTTTAGCACATTAACAAATCATATTTATTTATTTTTAAAAATATTACAATTTGTAATTTTAAGTTTTCACAGAAAAGTTGTTTGAATTTATTGACTTTGAACGTGAAAAAGCTATATTTGTTTTATAGAGAAATAGTAGATTAAATTATGTTATTTATATTTTTTTATTAAGTGAGAAATATTTTTAGGACTAAATTATTTTGAAATATATAAAAACTTATTATTCTATCATTAAATAAATAATATAAAATAGTGATTGACTATTAAAGCTAAAATGTTTGTAACAGTTATTTTAATTTGTTTTTAATAATAGAATAATTAGTTTTTCAAAAAAAAATCTTATTTTAAGAAAAATATATCAATCTTTTTGAGAATTTATAAATAGTAATAAAAACCATATATTTATATATATATATATATATAAATATATATGAAAATGATTTAAAAATGTATGGTTAGTTAGTGTGTATTTTAATAGCCAAACTGGTATTACTCGCTATAATATTGACTACCTGTCCCCTCCAAATGGCTTATTTTTTGAGAAGCAACAAACAAACAACAATTTTTATTTTTAATCCCATTTTAATATAAGGTTTATATTTGTTATTATTATTATTTATAGCAATTAATGAAAAAAAGTTTTTTTTATAAGAGAGAGGGAGAGAGAGAGAGAGAGAGAGAGAGAATTTATGTAATAATAAATTCATTATTTGCTTGAATCACAATCCACACAAAAATTGAATGCTTTTTTGTATGTTAAACACACTTCAATTATTTATAGCACAATGAACTTTAAAAATAAGCAATTTATCGCATATTTAAATATCAATTATTTTTCAAAGAAATTATATATATATATATTTATAAATTACAATAATTATAAAATATTTCCTAACAATACTTAAAAAATTAAAGTTATTGGATAATTATTTCTTATAATCAAATTTAATGTTACTTTTAAAAATAGTTATTCAAAATAATCTACTCAAAAAATTTGACAAATTATTATTATTATTGTTATATTGAATTTATTTATTTTTATATTTTAAATATTACTAAATTAATAATAATAAAAAAATTTATTTTATTTCACTGAAAAAAGGCAAATGACTGATAAGAAGATCCAACAAAAACAAACTGATATTATTATATAAAGTTATATTTAATATCTTTCCTAATACTTATACTAATAATAATAATACTGTAATAATAATAATAATCACCAAAAAACGCATTACAATTATAAAGCAATGAAAATATCGATATTCTGGTGACTCTTCCGGTAATTTTGCTTTCATCTGTAATTTTTTATTATACTAATAAAAACTATTTTTTTATATTTAATTTATAATCTCATTTTTTATAAAATAAATATTTGGGTCATTTTTAGGTTTATAAGTGTGTATATATATATTGATGTTTTTAAATTATAATTTTTTACAGTAAATTTATATATAATTATTATTGTATTGTATATTAAATGTATTAAATGCACACAATTTTTTTTAATTTATCGTTTTATAGCTCAATAAAAATGATTTTAAACAAAATATAATTGAGGTTTACATCGAAGGTGAAGGTGATTATGAATCATAACATTTAATTATTAAATATATTTATATATCTATACATTTACAACATATTTCCTGAAATCATTAAAACACAAAAACCTACCAAAAAATACTTGTAAATCAAGTAATTTACATCTCATGTGATAACAAAACATTTAATTAATATAATAATAATAATAATAATACTATAGTTGATATTTGATATATTTTTGTAGGTTTTTTTGTGGCAAATACTGTAATTATTTATTTGATATATATTTTTTTGCTACAACAGCAACAAAAATTTAAGCACATAAAGTATTTTTGTTTTAAATGTCAGTAAAAAACTAGAATATTAGTACAATAATACAAATTGTAAATTTATAATAATATATTATATGAAACATATAATATTGTATCTTAATGTTAGTGTGTTATTTATAGTTTAAGGAAAAAATGATAATAAAGTTTATACATATATATATATATATATATATATATATATATATATATATATATATATATATATATATATGAGATAACAACAGTACTACTAATGATTTGTCATATTTGGGAAGTGATTGATAAAATTGTAATAAAACTATCATTATTAGTGTTATTATAATTATTATTATTTGGTTTGTAAGCCGATAACAATAACACAATAAGTTTATGTGAATAACGCGAATCTTGATAATTTGAAAATTATTTTATTAAAATATAGTTTGAGAATACAAATCTAATGTATATTTTTTATAATACATTAAATTATATACACTTTATACATATACAATATATATATACTCTAAAATATAGAGTCTATACATTGTATAGTATACATATAATATTTTATATTGTTATATACTGTATATATATATATATATTTCCTTATAATGACTTTATTTCGTGTAAAACTAGAAATTACCGGAAATATGTTTTCAATTTAAGCACAATTTTTAATTTATATTAAAGTTATTATTTCATAAATATCATTCTCCATCTCATTGATATTTTATAATTAAAAATTTTATTAATAGAAATAAATAAAGATTTTATGTTATAATACAATATTACATATAAATATTTATATTTAGATTAAAAATTAAAGTTAATTATTAATAATAAAACACTACAATAATAATAATATAAAGTAATGCTAATATCATAATTTATAATAATGTATAAAATTTTTATTTATGTATAATATATATGAAATACTATGTAATATATTAACTATATATGTCAAAACATAAATAAATTTGTAAATCATTTAATCAATCAATCAATCAATGTTATTGTTAATTAGATAATTAGTAAATTAAATTAGTATTTTTTATATGGTTTAACTAAATTATTTTGTCTCAAACTTTCAAATATAGCGCTATTTTATTAGTGAAAAAAACACATTCAGTAATACTGTATTAATTTAATACAAACACATGTGATATTACATTACAGTATTGAAAATTAAATAATACTTTGAGAAACATATTATCAACGCTTTGAACACAACAAACATAAAACACTGAAATACATAACAATATCTTTAAATTATATAATAAAATCGATAAATACTACAAATAATTATATTTATTGTCATTGACTTAACTCTCATTTATTATTGATTTCAATTGAAATTTTTGTTATATTTTTATTTGATTTTAAATAATCCAAACATCACTTGAGTTTGCAATCATTTCGTTTGATTTAATCGATTGATTATTGAATTGAATCCAATCGTTGAAATCAGTCGCCAACCAACTTACCGATTACCCGAATAGCATAAACAATGGCCACATTCACGCAAATGAGAGACGAACTCAAGACATGTCCGTACAATCCGCTACACAGAGTGGCCGCTCGTCGGCTACAACAGCATATTGTCAAGTGTTCAAAGGTTTGACCACTTATTTGATACTCTTAAGAGAGAGAGAGAGAGAGAGAGAGAGAGAGAGAGAGAGAGAGAGAGAGAGAGATATATTAGGTATTGACTAATAACTCACTATTTTATTTTCTGTCCGCTACTGTCCCACACACCAGAACCCGGCGAACCCACAACTGGTCGACTGTCCGTTCAATGCTTTACACAAAATACCACCGAAAGAGATACAACAGCATATGCTTCAGTGCAAAGATAGTCGACAAGTGCTCCGAGAGTTTGGTAATAATACTAATAATACCATTTGATGTGATAATACAGTATAACCATTGATTTTGACATTTGGTTGTTATTGTTTTTTTCAGAGGAGACCCGCACTTATCGTCAATCAGCAGCTAATCGGCCAATAGTTAACAGAACTGAAGTGTTTAATTCTGAAGACAATTGGGAACACGACTCCGATAGTCGTCCAAAAGCCTATGTAATTCCCGGTCTGATGACCGACGAAGAGAAGAAAAAAGACGGCAATTTTGATGTCAATGACAAAAGTGATGACAAGAAAGGAGAAGACAAGAAGCCGTATGCCATGAAAAGCAATATTGAGATCCAAAGCATGAAACCCGCCGAACGCAGGAAGTACTACAAAGAGATGTGCGAAATGACTAAATTGAATCAAATGGCAGATAAAACTGAGCAGACTTTTAGCGACAGGTTTTATATATATTTAATATAATTTGATATATTTTTAATCAATAGTACCGGTAATTGTCTAATATTTGTTATTTATTATTGCAGTAAATCATATGTCACTTCTTCATTGGCATCGGCATCAAGTGTGCAAAGTGTGGCCAACACTGAAGTCAAGGTCGAAGATGATGATGACGACGACGACACCACAATTGTCCGAAAGCCAAATGTCAATCCATTTCAACCAAGAGTTCGTGGAATTGGTCGCGGAGTGCATCCCGTTCTCAACAAAAACATCGCATCAGTTGGCATGTCCTCAGCAGACTCTAACAAACGCAGTCACGGCTATGAAGATAGACCACAATCAAGCAAACGTATGTCACCGGATATCCCCTTTTAAGGATCAGTTGGATCACTGATACGTTTACGCAAATAATCATTTTGATTTTTATTTACTCTTTTTTTAAATTATACATCAAATATACATTGATTTTTAATTTACTTTTTTATTTTTTAAATATCATTATGAAATTATTATCCATATTTGAGTAAATTTACATGAATTGTTTATTTTTAATATACACATTGCGATACTTTTAGAAACTCCTTATTAATTTTAATTGATCCGATTTATTGCATTAAAATTAATTACATAATAGATTCATTAAATAGTTTTATGTACCGGTATTAAAATAAAATTATTGATCTTTTAATTACCGGTAATGTTTTTTTGTTGAATAAAATATATTAAATTGCCGTAAATGAACTATAAATGTGTTACAATTATTACTATTAGAAATTACAATACCCCTACCGGTAATTTTTTAATTACCGCTACTTTTATGCTGTAATGGCTCATATTTTACCTTATTTTTAATTTGGTAATATTGCGGTACTATTTACGTTTGTTAGGCAATTAGCGTATTTCAAATTAATTGACAAATTTGATGGTTTCATTTTGTAAATAACATTTTTTTTATTTTCTCTTTTTTAAATAACATTATCGCTTTTTAAAATGTATATATCATATAATAAATAGAAATAAACTTCTTTTAGTTTCAAGAGTACGGCTAAGATTTTAACTGATAATTGAGTTTTTAGACTTCAGATGAATAATGAAATAACAAATAATAAGTTCTTTTTTTATTTATATAAAATGGTTGTTAATTGTTGCGGTTTTAGGCATCCAAGTCGTTGACAAAAAGCATCTCTCGGTTGCCGAGACCACACTCGACAAGTGTCTGCCACTCATCGTTAGTGTCTTCGACAACACCGCCACTGATGCTGTTGTCATCATTGAAGATAAAATCTTTGAGTTGTGGTGAATGGCCGGGTAGGTCACGGGTGGGAAAGTTGGTTCGCATCTTAAAGTTCAGAGGAGAGTCCTTATTGCAGAACACAAAATAATATAAATATTTAATGGATTCACTCTTTGAGAATCGTCTCTCGAGACGAGTGCCGTTCGGAAGTTTTATCACTAGTTGTGTTGCATTATTATCATTGGCTTCTGGTTCTGGAGGTATCTCTTGGACTAAATAATTTTTCAGTTGAAGAAGTCGTTCTTTTTGTTGATGTTTTTCCAATTCTATTTCTCGTTTGGCCTTATCTTCGGCCTCTTTTCGGTTCTTCTCTTCTAATTTTTTGCGATCCTTTTCCTGATCAGCTCTGAGCGAGTCTTCATAGGCTTCGTCCTGTTCTTGTCGTAGTAATTGATTCATAATTCTTTCTTCGCGTTCTAGTCTGGCGGCAATCAAATTGGTTTCGTTGTCTTCAATGGTTGACTTAAGTTGTGCTAATAGTGTGTCCAAATGAATGCGTCCCTCAAACTTGCGGACAACAACCATTCGGTTCTGTTTAAGACAAATCAATGCCAAGAATGGATACGTACTCTCGCGGAGCTGTTGGGACACTGAGAAGCCGTCGTTATAGGCAACAGACGAACACCAGAACAATAGGCTCTGTTCACTGACAAAGTCGACAAAACGATCGCTTATTAGAACCGATCGACAAAATTCTTGGGTATCTTCGTGTACATCACTGTGCAAATAGACTACCAAAAACTTGAACTCCCGTTTGGCCACTTCGAGGGCCTGGTTATAGGTGCCAACAAAAAACTCTGGATGTCTGCTCCCGTATAGTTGTTCAAAGTCTGCCCGAAATTTATCGTTATCGCCGGCTATCCTTTGGATACCTGATATGGACATCAAATATTCAATAAACATATCGGCATCTATTGATTCATTGATATCATCTATACTATGATTATTATTATTAACACAGTTATCATTAATAGGAAGTATCACTGGATTTGCTGACTCATTGCTAACAGTGCTGCCATTAATACTACTACTAGTGGTCACAATATTACACACCAATTCAGGTGATGACAACTCATCGGAGATATCTATATCACTAATGTCTGAGTCATTCATATCTTTTTTTAATCACAAATTAATAAGTTTTTAATCAACAAAAAAAATTCCCTTAAAATATAAATTTCATTCACCTATTCATCTATAAAGACAATGACTGGCAATGAGTGCACATAATTATTGACTAATCATTTAGTTTTTTTTATATATTTATTTTAGTTATAAATATGACATCAAAATTAAATGCACTTAACTTGAAATATGTTTACATAAATAAAGTCAATTATAAAAAAAACCAAACTTTAATAATAACTAATTAATTAATAAATTAATTTTTTAGAGAAAAAATAATGACTAAAATTTTTCACTAACAAAAATTTTCATTCAATGCTTTGAATTAATAATTTCAATGACTTAACACTAAAAAAACTATTCACTAAAAAAATCCCCAAAAAACAAATTGCATTCAATAACAAAAATTTTAAAATAATGTAATCAACTTTTATTGCATGATATCATAGGAAAATTTTTTAGTGTCGTTATATAACAATCAATTGGCAAACCTATGAAAAAAGTGCTAAATAATACACACTATTGGGCCCTCAATCGGTAGGGGGGTCTCGGGTGGACAGACAACTCGGTAGACACCAAAAAAATGCTCGCACTGTTAGCAACAACAATAACAACAACGGATTGGGACAAACACTATAATTATAAGTAAAATAAATGAGTGGTGTGTTTGCACAACAAACACAATACCCCACCAGAAAAAAACATATAATTTTTTTTTTAAATTATTATTTTATGTCAACTCATAGCACACACAACACAACACATACATAGAGTGAGTCAGTAGTCAATAGGTTATGCCATTTGACTCTCAATACTAATAATACAAATATATATATATATGTTATGTAAATGACTTACGTCTTTGTGGATGTACTCCCAGTAGTGATAGTGTGAATCTAAACAATGATATAACCGTATCGTATAATATGCTAAATGGATATGAGATGATTGACCAGACAGTCATCCGGATCTCAGCCATTTTGATAACACATTGACAAACAAACAAATAGTGATTCAGTCAGTCATTACTACATCAACGACAACAACAATAATATAATAATAACCACAACAACAACAACACTGCAAAACATATACTAAAAAAGGCACACAAATAACGGTTTTTTTAATTTGAGTTATAAAACAAAATAAAATTCAATCTTTTATTATTGTTTGACTCACCCGACAGTCTAGAGACTGACCATATTGTTGGCCACAATCTATTATTTACTTAACAAATCAACTAAAGTGATGATCAATGTTGTCTTTGGACAGATAATTACTGTCGATGTTTGGATACATGTGTTGTTGTGTCCATTGACTCAAACAATCAATAACACAGTATTGATGACTACTGTATAATAGTATGTAATTAATGTTTAGACACGTTATGATGCAATCGATTGATTGTATTTTCTATTAAGGGCTTAACCATTATATATGATGTCTAGTGCTTATAGTATATGAATTGCAATCAATAGTTAAGCCCTTTATTTATGATTTTTGAATAACTGATAATTTATGTTGAATTTGAATGAATGGATAAATAAAATCCAAACACAAAACAAAAGCAATGTTAACATCAAAGACACGACCAGTGCTTACAAAAAGACATATACAGCTAATCCATACAAATGGTAGTCACAGATGTTTGACGGCTTCGGGTAATGATATTAAAGCAAACAAATTGAAGAGTCGACTGGACAGTGGTCCTCAATTGGCCGACTTTATCAGCGGACGGGTTGACGACACTAATGATGATAACAACAAATGGGATGACTATTCAGGAAAACTCAAGAGAGATAAAGGAGATAATGAACGGTATGTTCACAACAAAAATAATTATTGATTTATAGATAGGCTATTATTAACTACTTGTTTGTCACACAAAATAAGACTTCGTTTGCCTCCGTGGCTCAAGAAGGAGATACCTATTGGTCATAATTATCATCGATTAAAACGGTCGTTACGATCGTTGGGTTTGAATACGGTTTGTTTGTTCGTATGATTTGTCCGTTAGATTTGAGTTGATTGACAATTATTTTACAATCAATGTGTGGACAGGTATGCGAAGAGGCCAAGTGTCCAAATATTGGCGAGTGTTGGGGCGGTGGTGAGCATAGGACAGCTACGGCTACCATCATGTTGTTGGGCGATACCTGTACTCGTGGCTGTCGGTTCTGTTCGGTAAAGACAGCGAAAAGTCCGCCGCCGCCCGACACTAACGAACCGTACAATACTGCCAAAGCTATTGCCGATTGGGGTTTAGATTATGTTGTCCTGACATCAGTTGATAGAGACGACATGACTGATGGCGGTTCCAATCATTTTGCTGAGACTGTCAAACAATTAAAACAACTGAATGCCACTATTTGTGTGGAGTGTCTGACACCTGATTTCAGAGGCGATACCGAAGCTATAAAAACAGTGGCCACGTCTGGACTCGATGTTTACGCACATAATATTGAGGCCGTCGAAGATTATCAACGATTTGTTCGCGATCCAAGAGCTAACTATAAACAATCGATGGATGTCTTAAAATATGCTAAATATATTACTAAACAACTAAATGGCGAATCAATTATTACAAAAACATCGATTATGTTGGGCTTCGGTGAAACCGATGATCAGGTTATGCGAACAATGAATGATTTGAGAACAGCTGATGTCGATTGTGTAACATTAGGACAATACATGCAACCGACTAAACGGCATATCAAAGTTGTCGAGTATGTGACACCCGAAAAGTTCAAACAATGGGAAGAATACGGCCAGAAATTGGGATTCATGTATACGGCCAGCGCTCCACTCGTTCGGTCGTCATATAAGGCCGGAGAGTATTTTATTAAGAATATATTAGACAAACGAAAACAATTGGTAAAAGATAGTCAAACCAATCACCAGTTATAACCAGATTATAAAGGATTGTTAGGTTTGTTATAATTTTTATATGAAATATTTTACGTTTATGTGTAACAAACCGATAGCTATAGTTCCTCACTACTCGATAAGTACACCGAGTTTTTAGTGATTTTCCTCTATCGGAGAGTAATATATATATATATATATATATGAATTTTATTCACTTTGAATAAATCATTTAAACAATTTATTGTTTAAATTTTTAATTTATTCAAATTTTGCGGATTCATACATATGTTTTGATGCATTTCTCTAATATTTTTTTAAAGTATTGAATTATTTTAATTAACAACATTTAATTTTTTATTTTGTTTTAGTTTCGATTACGGCAATGGTTTCTCAAATACATATAAAACAAATACTCTTAATATGCAATATACAGCTAAACTTGAATTATTTAGATTTTTATTTAATATAAAATAAACTATTAAAATTGTTTCAATGTATTTTTTGTTAAGATTTTTTTTAAAATTTTATGTAGTAAATAAAAATATTTATAAAAGAGATAAAAACTATATTTTTGTTTTATTATATCGAGTTCATTAATGTCAGCATTATATTTACTAAAAAATAAAATAAAATATTAGATATATTTTGTTTATTAAAATTTTATTTCAATGACGATTAAGAGTTAACAAATTGTAGAGTTATGCAAAACAATGTTACTTAAAAATAAAATAATAGATAATTGTCGTACAAAAATCAATATAATGTTTACAACTATTTTTAACATATATTTTTTATTTGTTTTAAAACAGTAGTACCGGTAATTTCTGGTAATATAAAATCTATAGGATTTTAATAATAGTATTCATAATAGCATATGTTGTTAATAAATATTATCAACAATAATAATACAGTAATAATTTAATTACTACTAAACCTGTAAAACATGTACTAAACAAAACAACTCAAAACATTTACAATATACAGTATTTTAAACTAATTAACTAAATGTTAATACGTTTTATCATTTATAGTAATTAAATGAAAATTACTATTTATACATGTATTTTAAATTACTAATTATTGTTTATGATTTTTAAAGCTAAAAAAATTTAATTACAAATTTTTATAATTTGTTTATGGTTTGTATATCTGATGTTACTATAGTTTATTAATAAAAATTATAATTGAATACAATTTATAATATACAATATGTAATTGAATAAATTTGCTAATAACTGATAGGTACAGTGCATAGGTATTACAATAGGCAAACTTATTTGTTTGCTAATATTAAACAATTTTTTTGTTTTAATTGAGATAATAGCAAAACCAATATAAAGTTATGATTAATTTTATTCTGCTATACTATGCAATAATTGACGATAACTTTTTTTAGTTTTATTTTATAAATAGTTGTTTTAAGACAAACTTTATCATTGTTTACCACATATAAACTATTGAAGTTATAAGAGCCGACTGACTATCTTTTCATATATACATCCCTTTCCTTGCCTTTACAATAATTATTAGTTATATATTATATTTATTTCAAACAGACATCTAGTCGTGTGGTTCTCATATTTCCAACACAAAAATTAGTCTTTCTTTTTCTCTAATCATTAAATGATATTAAAAGTTATTTTAAACCTAATAGCCAATGATTTTGTTGAAAATCATTGAATACACGACCCGTTAGCAACAAAAACAATAAATTGAGTTAATATTAGATTTTATTCAAAAACTAATGTTTTTCCTGTCTTACGATTTATCAGTGTTAACCCAATTATAACCCCACAATAATTTTTATATACACACACGTTCTCCTCAAATAAATACAAATAGTTTTATTATATTAAATATTGGTTTCACTTTTATTTTACAAAAAAAGTTGACTAAAACTTTTGCATAGTTTTGTTGATTTATTTTTTATGGCCATTATTTCCGGAAAGTTATATATGTTATTATTTTTAAATATAAATAATAATTTACATAATATAATGTATATCATAATTACGGGTACATATTATAATTTTATTATTATTTAAAATTAATATTAAATTGTAACTTATAGAATAAGAATATTTTTTTAAAGAAATTATCAATTATGTCAAAAATACAGTACCTATACATTCATTAAAAATTGACAAAAATTGTTAAATAAATTGATAACTTGTTTGTTATTTTCTGGAAACTTTGTGTTTTACAGTATTTTTTTGTCAAATGTAAAACAACTGATTATTGAATAGGTGTAGAAATATCTATAGATTAATGAGTGAATTTAAGTTTTAATATATCATGAAATAAAACATTTAAATTTTAAATGTTTACCAATAGTTGTTTATAATTAAAATTATACATAATATGCACTTTAAACGGAATAATAACAATAATAAACATAAATATAATTACTGTACATTGATTATAAAATTAAATTTTAAAACATAATTGTTTGCATGGACATTTTTAATTCAACCATATAAATAAATAATTTTAACATGCTCAGTTTAATTATTAAACTTAAAATTAAATCGATAGATAAATTTTAATTTATTTGCGATTAACTTTTATGTATGTTTTAAGTTATAGTATATACGGTACGATACCTTTACATTTTCATGATATATCTATTTAATAGAAACATCGAATAATAAAAAAAATTATTTAATCATGTTTTCAATTTTTAAATTCATTTTTTTAAATAAATTATACATAAGTAGCTAAATTTTATTTTTAATTGATAGCATTAATTGTAAGACTATACAATTGATGTATAATAAATACATTAGTATTTACTATAAAAAATAAAACTATTAATAGTATTTTTTGATATGAAACTTTTTAAACTTCAATCATCAAAAAAATTGTTTATTAAATTTGGATAACAAATATTTTTATTTTTAAATTAAATTAAATTTTCTCTCGGGCTATAAATTTCGGAATTTTTTATTTATAAATATATTGATTGCGTTTTATAACTGTTTTAAACAATTTACAACTAAATTAATGCAAATTTCTTTGTAAATTTAATAATTTCAATAAAAAATTAATTAATTAGTTTTTTTAATTGTTATTATATTGTTTATTAGATTTTGTTACATCAATAAAATTCATATGTGAAACATGTGATAGCAATCTGATAGCTAATATTAATAATATTTGTAAATATGTTTAAAAAAATTATTTTCAGTCTATGCAATCGTAGTTAAAAAGTTATGGGTCCAAGTTATAACTAAATTTATCGATTATAACGTTAAAAATGTTTATCAATAAAATTTTTTTGAAGGTTTTTTAAAAATAATAATCATAATAATAGCTAATAGATTTTTTACGTCAAAATTTTAAACTCCATTTATTTTTAATCAAATTATATATATATAAAGTATATCTGATATTTTAATTGATCTGAAGGTGACTAATACTTATAATAAAATACGATATGTTTTATTAAACTTTAATCTACTCTTTCAAAGTATCATTTTATTTATTTAGATATACTTTTTATATGTAGTTTGAGATCCACGAGTCAAACAATCAGCAGATTTTTTTGAGATTATAAAAAATAAAACATCTATTAAATTGAGTTTTATCTGGAGTTAACAACAACAACACAATATATATATATATAAAACTAATATTTAAATAATAACAGTTTATTTTATAATACACACATCATCTATTATAATAATAATAATAATGTTTGCGAGAATTTAATAAATATTTATATTGTAAATAACATATACAATATTTATAATTAAATAATCAGCAACAAAAAATAAAATAAAAGTTATACGCATATTGGTAATAATAATAATAATACTAATACTAATAAAAACAATTAGCAATTATTATCTAAACAAATACTAATAATACAAAAAAAATGATATAAAACATACAATTGACTGACAAAATAATTGGAAAACGACCAAAATATTGTGAAAAAATAAATAAATATTTTAAACATGTCTTAAATGATTTTTTCATAGATATGACTAAATAGATATGTCATGTAATGATAGTTCAATCAAACAAACAAAAAGAGATTAGGATTTTGTTTTTGACTGATTTTTTTGACAAATTCTCTGCGAAATCTCATTATTATTAAAAAAAAATCTTAATATTATTAAAGAGTTTTATTAGTATTTTTTAAATAATATTTATTGTACAGAAAAACTGTTTGTTTTTTTGTTGCCATTAAAATGTTTTCACAGTATATGTGCGCAACGATAACATAATACTTTTAATTTGTAATAATTATTACATCTATACGCATATATTATGCTATAATATATATACAGTACTATGAAAACCATTTTTTTAATGATAAAAATTGATGATTTTTTAGAGACATATCTTAAGGAAAATATGAATTTTAGGCCAACTCTTGTAAAACGTATTAATATTTTAGATGAAAACCGACCACAAAAAAACTTTGACATAATTATTATCAAATATTTCAGAAATATTTTATACATTTTTAAAAATTAATACATTATAGGCTACCTATAGGTTAGTCTAGACATTAGTTTTTCTAATAATTTATGATATATTAGACAAATCTTAAAATTAAAAAATAACACTATATATATATATATATATATATATAACTTATAACTATCTCAAACTATAATTACTTAACTAAATTTATAACTAAATTATGCTTTTGACGTCAATCAATGTACTTCAGTGCTAAAAAACTATTTTAAAAACACCTCTTTTTGGGGATTTTTCATAGTATTTGACCACAAATTTGATGGCAAAATGTTTTATAAATATAATATATATATATATATATATATATATATGCGATAAAAACAGTGCCCATAAAAAATGAAGTCTCATATTTTTTGGTGACATTAACTGTCAAACCGATAAAAACCTATATAACTTTATAAAAAAAAAATTTTAAAAATTTTTGTTGTTTCTATGGGCTAATAATATACAGTAAAATGTCTGATAAAAAACAAGAGTCCTATAAATAATTGCGAAACTTTTTTTGCTGCAAATCAAGTATTTCGTAAAAATAAAATAAATAATTAGATTTAATTGTGTTGTCAATAGAGCCAACACACATATTAATAGAAATTTTAATATTTATTAAATATATATATATTTGTTACAAAATATATTATAAAACAACATTTGTATCATAAGTTTGTTTTAATATTAACTGAAACATTATTATTTAGTAATTATACTTTTATTAATTGACACATTATATATCATTTTACTACACGTGATTGTAAAATGTATTTTAACCTCAAATACTGCGAAAAGATTTTTTTTTATTTTTGTATAACAGATTAATTTACAATTAAAAATCTAAAACTAATGATATATTGAATTGATATTGAAATTTGAATTTTATAGTTTGAAATCGGAGTCAAATTTCAATATCGGTTTATTTTATTATTTTTATTATTATTGTAACTTATTATAGAATATTCTATATTTATATAATATGACTAATTTGTAAATAAATATTTAAATTTGTATCTATTATACATCTAAAATTTTAAGGTAATTTTATTGCCTAATATTTCAATATATATACATATTTTTAATACAGTATTTAGATATTAAATAAGATACTAAACAACTTGTAACACACAGTGTGTTAGTGCTAAATAAATAATGAGCTAAATATCGGATTGCAGTGCAGTTTCCAGAGGTACGACCAGCTGAGGCCAGTTTGGTGTAATTGATATCACTATAGGACTACTGTATAAAATGCAAGCAAAACCACATATACTAAACATATAATCATCAGCTGTTGAGCGCACAGACACTCAGAGAGAGAGAGAGAGAGAGAGACTCTGAGAGTAATACGAGAGACCCCTTAAAAGCTAATACTTTAATAATAATAATACTGTAATAATATAATACTTTTATTAAAAAGTGTTAAACGATTTTTTTGTGAACATTAGATTTAAATTGCAATAATTTTTGTTGTTGTTTGTAATCGATATATATTTGCATTAATTTTCTATTTAAAAAAACTAAATAAATAAAATTATAACTTAGTTTCAATATATTTTGTTCAATTACTTTAAATTAAAAAAATAAAATAAAATAAATAACTTTCAACACCGGACTCTGAAAGTTTCAGATTCAAGGCATAAAACTTAACTTAAGGTAAGTTTCAAATCAATAATATTTTTGTCTCAAAAAAAAATATCTCCCGATCCTCACTAATCACCTTAAAAAACTCACTATTTTTTTTTAAAAATTTCTAAAAATATAAACTTATATAAACTTTAGAAATATAAGAATCTATTTAATATATTTAATTGTAAAATAAATATTTATCAAAATTTGATTTTTCATACATAATACAACTAACTGTTACACATTATAAACATAACAACTTATAAGAATCAGTAATTTTTAATTTCAATTAAAGTTTATTTTACTGTCAATCACTCAGAAAATATCACAAAAAATAATTTTTTCAATACTAAAAGTGTGAGAGACTTATACAGTCGTCCCTTAGTTTAGTGTTTATAAAATCAAGAGATATATCAAAATAATATTAATATTGAAAATCTTATTTAAATAACAAATCTACAAATCATTTAGTTTATATATTTCTCTATTAAAATTATACAGAAATTTGATGATTAATATTATTAATGTTCACCAAAACAATTGACTAATTGGTTGACAACAAGTTATATATATATTATTTTTGATCAGCAAATTTCTAATCATTGTAAACAATTTTTTTCTCAATACTAATAATAAATTAATTAATTAATAATGTTATCTAATAATTTAGAATAATTTGTAATATTTTCAGTCATCAAAATTTTTTTTGGTAGTGTTTTTGGTGTGTTTGACATATAAACAATTGATTAAAACGAAATGGAAAGTGTGGTTATTCGTGTACAGGTTTGTATCACTAATTATTATAATAAATATATTTATTTATTTATAAATTTATATACATTAATATATATCAATTAAACTATCATAGTTTTTTTTTATGTATTTAACGAGTTTTTTTTGCTAATTTTTTTTGTTTAACAAAAATATCTAATTTTGAGATCTCTAATTCATGGCTATATAAAATATAGTATATATCATGTATCATATTATATTATTCATATTAGCAGCACTGGGTCTCTCAATGAATGGGAGACATAAAATAAAAATCAATTAATTATAATTGAATGCTAATTAAGTGTATATACATATACAATATATATATGATAATAATATATATATTTTCTTTAAAAAAAATTCACTTATATATTATTGACGTGTTGTTGTTATATGAAGTGTGTGTCGTTTATATGTATTGGTAGTTACACTTATATAGCCCGTACGTGTCGACCAAATAGGCAGACCGTGTGTCTAATTAAAAATGATATATAATTTCTGATATCAATTAAATATAATATTAATAAAGTTGTTATCAATTGAGAAAAATTGTGATATCATTTTTATATATATGCACTGCTGCTTATCATTTCTCTCATACAGTATATAAATACTGTATATATTTCTAGTCTATATAAGTATACTGTGAATATTGTATATATAAAACGCTTTTGTATTGACATTGCATTTACTGTACAAATGCATTGAGATTTTTATCTGACAGTTTCTCCACATATAATTCGCTTTCAATCGTTAGTTAAGTTTTATTTACAAAAAAGTTGTCTCTCAAACAATATTGTGTTTTAGTCCACATTAGGAAACAACAAGAAAAAGAAAACATTATTATTAACGAAAAATATGTCTAACAATAAACCAATGAACGTATTTCGGGCCAAAGCTAAACACTGGAATCTGGCCGTCGATAGTGCAGAGTTTGCCATGAGATTGGATCAGGAGGACCCGTTTGGCACATATAGACACCAATTTATATTTCCTAAAAAATCAGACCTGCCCTATGGTAAGTCATACCTTTAAATAATTTTAATCTATGACAACAATTTTAATGCTAGGTTTTTCCATATCATATATTTATTTATTTAATTAATTTTATGTGTATATATATATATTTGTGACCGTAAATTAACAAATTTTGTTTTTTTTGGAAAATATTTGCTACATTTCTAGTAGTAAATTATTAAATGCATATAACAGTATTTAAAAAATTTGTTTATATAATTTGTTTTTATTATTTAAAATAATTTAAATGCAATAATTTCAATTTTGAAGTTAATTTATTTTATATTACTTAAAATGATAATGCATAATAAATGTTTAATTTTATTAAACATTGTATCAATTATGAATAGATTAGAGAAAACTTAATGATAAATTAAATTATTGAATTTTGCATATTTGCCTTGGATAAAAATCTATATAATCTATGAATATTTTGTTTTTAATTATGTTAAATAATTTATGAACTATACTGATAAAAATGTTTAAATAGCAATAAAATTTAATTATTTTAATCAAGATTAGTAGACTAATAAATCGAGTTAATATCTTAATGTAAATTATGATTTTAAATAATTATTTTTATTTTGAAATATTGCGAAACTTTGCGAATATTACATAAATATTGTTTAGTAAAATAACAAGTATTTAATTATACCACATAATTTTGTAATTGATAATTTGTATTTAATTAATATTATTTATAAGTCATATGTTTGAATTAATAATCAATTTTTATTGCCATTACTTGTAATTTTACAATATTAATAATTTCAGCGATAAATTAACTTTAATATAAATATTGTATTTTACTTTATTATTGAAAAGCCATATATTTAAGGATTATTATACAATTATATCAATTTTATAGTAGATAATAATTACTAGGCATTGCTATTAATATATACAAGTGTTTTTATAATCACTATTAAAACTTACATTATCTTTAATATTTGAAACATTGTTTCAAAAAGAGTGCCAAATTTTTTTTAATGATATTTATTGAGGGTTTCAGTGATAATTAAATTATATTAATATATATATAACATATATTACATAACAATTGCAACTTTAAAAAGTTTATTTTATAGATAATTAGTAATAAATATATTAGTGATAATAACTAAATTTGTTTCTTTAAAATCTCAAAAAACTAGTCGACAAAAAGCGTCTGTTTGACGATAACGAAGAGGCACTGTATTTGTGCGGTCAGTCACTCGGTTTGGAGCCGAAGACATGCAAGAAAAATGTTAAGGAAGTGTTGAAAAATTGGGGCGAAAAAGGAGTGCACAGTCACTTCCATGGCTATATGCCGGCCGCACTGTCCGATTTGGTACCCAAAACATTGATGGCCCGTATCGTTGGCGCCAAACCCAATGAGGTAGCGCTGATGAATGCGCTCACAGTTAACCTACACTTACTCTTATCCACTTTCTATCGGCCTTCACAACGAAGACATAAGATTATCATTGAAGAGCACGCATTCAGTAGTGATATGGTATGACTTAATCTTAATATATATAATCTTATTATATTAATATATTAATCTTAATGTATATATATATATATATTAATATATAATTAAAGAGATACATCACAGACACACACACTCACATACATAACCCTTTCCCACACGTATGACATACTCGCTATCATATTATTCATAATATAGTTAGTTAATTACTAATCAATATTATTATCTAATATGTTATTAATTATATATACATATATCGTATATACCGATTATTGCACAAATTTTTTCCACACTTTAGTAGAGTGTATAAGTGTTTTGTTATTATTATTTTGTTTTTAATTTTATTATTAAAAATATTTTTATTATTATTATTTTTAAACAATCAAATTTAATTAACTCAAGTACAATATTTAAAAAAAATTATATTATATGTTTATTATGCAAAATGCACTTATGTTGCATTTAATGCAAAAAATAAGGAAAACAACATGACATTTCTACTAATGTAATGTATTGTCTTATATATATTATATTAATTACCAATATTTATACAGAAAATCTAATTTACTAATCTTTAAGTATCACATTTTTCATGTGACAAATTACAAATACACTTACAATTGAAACGCATTGAAACAAAAATAATATAAACATTAATTACATAATTAATTATATTTTTAATATTAATTTTAAGTATACAATTTTTTATTACAGTTTGTGGTTAAGTCACAAATTAGATTTCATGGCTTATCGCCCGACAACAGCCTGATTATGCTTAAGACACGTCCGGTAAGACAACAATCACTTTATTTTTGATAAGACAAACAACAAATTAAATACAATTTATTTTAAATTACAAAATTTTGTACAAATAACAAACAATTAAATTATAGTATTTTTTGTGCAAATATTATAATAAAGGGTTTAATCAACTCTAATCTATTTGTAATACATATACGGTATTTCAACTTATTTATATCTACAGTATATGTATTTAATTGCATATTTTTTTGAAAATACAATAGATTTATATTAATTATTTAAGTACAAACTAACCCGGAGTTAATATATTGTTATATTCCTTTAATAACATGACTGGTGCTAATCACTAATCTAATCACTAATGTCTTACTATATTATGTTATATTACTACTAAACTAAAATTAATATTTCAAAAAATGCTAAATTATATATTATTACATATTATAAATTATATATTCAGTATATATTTATTTTTGCAACATTGCAAATGAAAAATATTTGTAACAAAATGTTTAATAATGATAACTATAAAAATATTTTATAAAAAATTTAGTCCCATTTTTGGGTAATAAAAGAATATAATTGAGATATAAATAGTATCCAAACTAAAGTCAGGCGTCTCTTCTAACAAATTCTTTACATTTTTAGTTAAAAACTAATGTTTTTATTTTGAAAAAAACTTTTTCCCAAATAAAAATTTACTGTTACTATGGGTATAACCTGTTTGTTTCGTATATTAGAGATACTGTATGTATATATAAATTATTATATATTAATATTATATGTTATGATAGATGATAATTCTTGTATGAAATTTATGTCATTTCTAAAATCATTTTTTTTGTTATTCAAAAACCCTTTTGTAACCAAGTTTTTATAATAATTATTATTATTATTAGTTTTGTAAACATCATATGCAATATATTCTGGAAAATACTACAGTAATACAGTATATAACTAACCAAAACATTTGATAGATATCTTATCAAAACCTATTATTTTGACCTAAAAATTGAATGGAAATATTATTTTTCTAGTTTGATGTTTCCGATTCAAAAAATCACTTCTCAATAAAATAATAAATATTTAGTAATAATAACAATAAAATAGAGTAAACAATAAATAGTTTTGAATTAATTATTTACTAGTATTTTACGGTATTTATTAATACAGGAACATATTTATTAAATAAACAAATTGTATTACTATTATTATCACTAATAATTAACTTTATGGTTAATTCTCTGAAAAACAATTACAGTATTTTTATTATTTATTTATTTATTAATCAATAATTATTATTCAAATCAAACAAAAAGGGCGAACATTTGTTACGCGAAGAGGATATACTTGAAGTGATTGAGAAAGAGGGCGATAATGTAATGGTGGCAATGCTTCCGGCCGTCCAATACTATACGGGACAGTTGCTTAACGTACAGAGGCTGACAAAAGCGGCACAAAATAAGGGAATAGTAGTCGGTGTAGACCTGGCCCACGCTGTCGGTAATGTTCCCATCTATTTGGACAAATGGAATGTCGACTTTGCAGCCTGGTGCACCTATAAAGTTAGCATGGACATTTTTTATTGTTTAATTTATTAATTAATTAATTGCTAGTTGTGCTAAATATTTTTGTTGGTTATATAATAAACACATTAGTAATATATTTATAAAATTTTTTAGTATTTATGTTCGGGTGCCGGCGGTATTGGTGGCATTTATGTTAATGAACAATATACTGAAAATGGAGGTTCGGCTACCTTTCCTATGCTACAGGGCTGGTGGGGGAACAGCATTAAGACAAAGTTTCTGATGAAGGACGGTATGAATATATATTTTATATAATACTGTTTAATATGAAATATAAAAATTTGACTTTCATTTGTCACTTGGATTAGTTTCAAATAATTTTTTTGCAAAGATTTACTGAATATTTTTATATATAATTTTTGTTTTACTTAAAAGATTTAGATCTAGAATTTTATATCACGTCTTAACTAATTAGAGAAATAAAAAAAATTATAGATTTATACAGTTGTGTGTATAAAACATTAGCTTAGGTCTAATCTGATTGGCATAAAACACGCATAAAATATTATTAATACACATAATTAATATACAAAATTATTGCCAAATATTACATTTTGAAAGTAGGCTTTTGAAACAATTTGATTTATATCTAATTTATCATATATTACAGATTAAAATTTGTTAGAAATAATACCACATTATATCATAGATTAATATATATTTTTTTTAATTATAAAATCTAATTATACAATTGATCTCTCAATAGATTTTGACCCAAGTATTGGTGCCGATATGTTTAAGTTGAGTAATCCGTCCCCTGTCCTCAACGCTATGCTTATGGCCAGTCTTGATGTATGTCATTATCATATATATAATTATAAATAAAATCAATAATATATATAAACTAAACTAATTTGCAATTAATTTTTTTTTTTGTATACAACAAACCCAATAGATATATAACCAGACATCCGTTGAAGAGCTTAAAGAAAAACAATTTCTTTTGACCGGTTATTTAGAGTATATGATTAAATCATACTTTCCACGAAAGAGGACATCCAAGACTAGACACCCATCCAATGATAACAATAATCTCAGCGGCGGTATGCCATCAGTGGAGATCATTACGCCAGCAGATCCCGATCAAAGAGGTGCTCAATTGTCGTTAATATTTTCCGTACCGCTAACTCCTGTCCAGGAAGAGCTACAAAAGCGAGGAGTTGTCGTAAGATTATTATTATTAATTTTTTTCAATACCAGAAACTAAAATAATAATTATAATAATAATATAAATTTTATAATTTAGTGCGATATCCGTATGCCGAGTGTGATGAGAGTGGCTCCCGTTCCCATCTATAACTCCTTTACTGACGTCCATAAATTTGTTTCAATACTTTACGAAATATTTGAGGGTTTCGACATCGAAAAGAGATTGTATGACAATTGTGGTGAAGAAGATCTGTTTACTGAATGGCACGGCGATGATAATCTATCGATGAGCTCATCCAACTCGAGTGCCTGTCCATCGCCGACCACTGTTTCAGATTCCGATTGCGACTCATTTAACGGATCACTTAATGTATTGTAAATGAATAATATCTGGTTATCTCTCATATCACACACACACCGATGATGTCCTCTTAAATGAAGCAAACAATCAAAAACAAATGTCTTTAGATATATATATATATATAGATATAAATAATTTTTATTTAAGTGATTTGTCAGCTGATAATAACCGATAGTTACTTCAGTATTATAATTGTCTTAATAATTACCGGTAATTGTATTTAAAGACATTTGATTTTTAAAAATTTAGACCTCATTTTAGTTTTAGAAATCAGTTTATTAGCAAATTTTAGTTTAAAACTTATGATAATTTAGTAAAATAAATATTAATTTAGTAATAATATCAATTAGCAAATTTATAATGGCCAATTTTTTCTAAATATTTATTTTAAATTTTAGTTTTAATATTATATCTTTTAATAATAGTAGCCTTAATATCTTTTTATTAACTAAACTTTAATTAGATATTTTAGATATAACTTTTTATTGTCTGATTAAAAAACTTTTAATACACTCATATTGTAATAAATGTTTCATTTTGTTTTTTAAATATATTATTATTATTAACAATTAATTACATTATATACCAAAAGTTACAATGTTTTCTATTATTATTATTAATTAATATTATTTTTGTTGTTATTTTATTGTGATTTAAAATATTGTAAATGTATTTTTAATTTCTTTAAATCAAAATAAAATCATATTTATATAATCTTTGAAACTATAAATTTATATAATAATATGAATATTATTATAATAATACGGTATACTTTTACAGTTTGGTTAAAGTTTAAAATTTTTTGTTTTAATTAAATTATAAATAAGTAAATTTTTATTACTAATTGAAGCTTAAGTGAAAAAACTAATATATTTTTATTGACTATAATTTGAAAAGTATATATAAAGTTTAAATTTATATTTTGAATTATTTCACTTAAAATAAGTAATAATTTAATTATCAAATAGATTTAAATTTAATATTTTTGTCATTTATAGAATATATTCTCTTTCTATATGTTTATTACTTTTCAAATAACTGCCGAATATTTTATGTGTTAATCTATTGTCTTAAATCCCTATATAAGTGATAGCACTGACCATACATTTTATGATTAGATATTACAGTGCTTCACAACTCTCATAGAAATTAAAATTGTAATACAAATTCATATTAAAATAAAATGATTAAATAATAAATTTTTTAAATGTATTATTGCGCCTAATAAACAATTGCCTTATAACTCAACTTATGTTTTACAAATTAAATAAAAATATATAATTAATTTACTAAATAGTTTTGTATATTAAATATAATCAGTAAGATAATAACATTTTAACTAAATTTTATAATTAAAAAAAACTACAGATTTAATTTATATACTAACAAATAACAAAATAATTAGATAGTAGTTGTATTTAAATTTAAAATACTGATACCTTATTACTTATTACTAGTGTCTTGATTTTCAACTAAAAAAATTATTTTGTCGGTTCAACGCTTATAACTGGGACTTAGTATGTCCACCGAACTTGACCAGTGGACACTATTTCCGAAATTTTATTATAACTATAAATAACTATTTGTTGGGTTAGCAACTATAAAAACTTATAAATAACTATTTCATTGATTTTGAAAAATATAAGCATTAAATTGTAAAATTAAGTACAAATATATGTAAAAACAAAAAGTAATAATTATATAAATTATATAAAATGTGTAAACTGTTATCAACTCATATTACTTTTTTAACAATAGAAATAATTAGTTTATTTATATAAATCATTTTTGTAAATATGCTGCAAACAAATGAATATATATCAGTTGAAATATTTATAAAAAAATAAATAACTATTTCAATAACTATTTGGCTTTTTTAGCAACTATATACAACTATTTAATACAGTTTAAATAACTATTTTAAAAACTATTTGACTTTTTTAAGCAACTATTATAACAACTATTTAATAGAGTATAAAAAATTATTAATCAATACACTACTTATTACTAATAAGTTATTAGTATTAGTATTAGTTTTTAATAGTATAGTTTAAATTTCTTAATGATTTTAATGTATTTTTAGAACATATTTTGATTTCCTACATAAATCATAAGTTTTTTACTATATTTTTTAAACAAAAATATAAATAAATTTACAACTAATGTATTATACTGTATATTTACAGTATATTATATTAACTATTTTAAGTATTATAATAAGTTTTTAGCATTAGTTTTTAAAATATTTCTTAAAAAGTGTACATTACTTCAGTGCCTTATATTAATAATTTAAAATATAATTAAAATATAAATTATTTAAATATAATGTAAACTTTTATTATATTAATTAAATTAAATAAGTAAAATATTTTATTTTTTATAAATTTTATATGAATAATATTGATAATGATGTAACTTATAGTAGTTATCTATTTATTCAATTAATTATTTATTTAAAATATAATAGTTTATAATAACATGAAAAATATTCAATAAATAATAATTATTAATCTTAAAAAATTAACTATTTTATTAATTAATAATTTCAATTAATTTAATTTATACTGTATATTTTAATAATTATCTTATATTAAAAATATTAATAATTTATTAATGTAATTATATAATAAATTTTATGAATTACTAACGATTATCTTTAATATATACAATATAAATTGAGTACAATTATATTAATGTTAATTTGATTACAGTTTAAATTGATATTTAAAAAAAACTATCGCAAAACATGTGTCAATAAATTTACATTAAAATGTATGACAACATATTTTTTTTAAACGGAATTATATTATAATCAATGTTTTTAATGAAAAATATTTTAAATGAAATTTGATTTTTATGGAAAATTTAGATTTTTTTCTCAATGAAAATATTTGTTTAAATTAACTGCTAATCTCTCAATTAAATTATGATTAAAAATACTTCACTCAATGCTTACTCTATATACTAAAATGTTATTTTTATAAATAATAATAATAACTACTATTTATTTTAAATATAATTTATTATTATTATTGAATGAATGAATATTTTCCAAATTATCAAATGGTTTTGTCCATAAACAGTATCCCTCGTGAGGGGAGAAGGGGGTCATAACGTGTACTTCAATGGAGAGGGAGGAAGGGCTCAAAGTTCATGGACTTCCTATTAAATGGTATTATATTTAATAAATCATAGTGTTGTTACCAATGTTAACATTTGTCACACAAAGTTTATGTTATAATATAATACAGTAATAATAATTATTAATTAATAAATTTCCATTAAAAAACACTAATAATAATAATAATTATGATTCAATTTATGATATAATAAATAAATTTCACTTTTGATTACAACAGCAACAAATTGATGTCAATGTTGTTTTTCAAATACTAAAAATAAAATTAAAAAATATTTTAGAAAACAACAAATAAATGTATTGTATATAAAAAATTGTTGTTATAATTGTAAATAAATTATAAATATATATTTGTTTGATGTAATTTAATTACTTAATTTATTAGTCAAAACTTAATAACCAATGATATATATATTGGACATATGTTTTACCGAAAAGAGACAATACTTTACTTCATCAGCATTGGTGGTCAACTGAGATATAATATGTAAATATCTCAGAGCTATATGTTTACCATTAGTGAGGTTTTTGGGTGCGAGGGTTAAGGAGTAATGTATGCAATTGATTAAACACACAATTTCATCAAATATTTCTGAATATATGAAAAAGTTATCAAAATATATCAAATTAAAATCAAATAATTTGATTACAATATAGAGTTGCAATCGCACCCAAACATATCATATCTAATGGTAAACCCCTCTGACATCTCTCAATTGACAGCCCATTGCTGATGAAAAAAGTAGTATCTCTTTCATAAATATGTGTCTATAATATATTGCTAGTTATCCAACAATTAAGTAATTAAATTAGCATAAATTGAGTTTAACTAAGTTTAAGTTACTTGAGTTATTTCAATCAAATAACTAAATTGATTTAAAAATTAAATTTTTATATATGATATATATAAGTGTTTGTGTTTTGAAACTTAATTTATAATTAATGATATAACTATATTTTAACATTACTTATAAATATAAGATACTGATTGTGATGTCAACTTTTTGTTGATGTATTAATAATTAAACTTTAAGTTCAATATATTTTATTTGTGTTTGATTATCAATTGATTTTATTATGGGGTTTGTGATCTGAATTTTACACAAATTTTTGGCAAATGAGAAAAAATTTGTTGATTAATAAAACAAAACATCAAATTATTTATTTACAACAAACAAATCAATATACAAACAGATACCAGTGCCTCAAACTTCAATATAAATTTATAAATATTATATGCAATTAATTTTTAATATATATGGTCTGAATTAAGTTTAGTCATAAAGAGAGAGAGAGAGAGAGAGAGAGAAATGAAAAAAGATGTTCATATAATCACTAAGTTTATGATTAAAAAATTTGTTTTCAAACACAAATCAATATTTGTTTTATGATAAAATTTAGTTTATAATATTAGTAGTATCAATAGTATCTGAATAAATGAGACTATTATTGCTGATTCATTTAGTTTTTTTAAATGTCTTTTTCATCAAAAAATAATAATATATTACATTTACAGTGAAATTAAGTAATTGATTGTGTATTCAGTTTTATTATACAGTATTTGATATAAATATATAATACATACAATAATATATACTAGGATTAAGATAACAAACAAAAAGAGATTAATTTTTGTTGATATCATTTACAATATGCATTGACACAATTATTAACATACGAAATTATTAAGTTTTATAATTAATTTAATGTAATAATATTTATTTATTTTTTAGCAAATTAATAAATAAAATAAAAAACATTGTAATAGCAAACAAAAAATTATTATATTAACAAAAACATATCATATGATTATCATGTAAGTGATATTAATTGTATGATTAAATTTATTGTCTTATATCGTATACTAATTAAGTATTTAAAACTAACTAAAAGAAAACACTTAAAGCAAATGTCAGATCATATAATAAACACTTGATTTTTTAAGACATGCCGTCAGACATAGCCATCGATGGCTAATAAACAACAACTTCAGTGTTCCCTTCGTTACCAAACAATCGATTTGTTTACTATAAAAATTAAACAAATATTTATTTGTCTTCTCTTTCATTAAATAAGAAAAAAAATGAAGCAAACATTTCGTAAACAATTTATCAGTTAATGTTAACACTAACTAAAATATTTAAACTAAAAAAACTAAATATTATCTCATGTTATGTTCAGAAAAACCACAAAAAAATCTTACACTAAAATCTGGTATCCGGTCATAAACACAAACATTTATCATCAATCAATGCATGGCATTCCTCAGCTATCAATGATCCTATCATTATAAGGGGTAAAAAGCAGTTTAAACTGATTTTCTGGGCTTTCACTTACTATATTATGATTTGGCAATAGTTTGTATATTTTTAGTTTATGTAAAATTAAATAATCCATGAAATAATTTATAAAAAAAATAATGTCAAAAGCTAGGTCAAAACCATAAGTGCTTTTTTCGATGGGGGAAAATTTGAAATTTTCTGGGAAGTTTAAACATTTAAAATAGCATAACCTATGGTATAATAGAAATTATTAATCTCTATGTGATTGTCTCAATATTGTTTTATTTTTTTGTATAATAAGCAAAATGTTTATCAAATTTAGTTTTTATTAATACCTTTGTAAATGTACATAAAAATTATATACATTTATGGGATTAGCAATATTGATATAATTTGTGAATTTCTACTATATTTTTACGACTTTGTCCTATAAAAAACATAATGGCAATATTTATAGTTAAGTTATTAAGCGATTAAAATTGTGGGAAAAAAGTCTATAAACGAAAAGTAGGAAACGATTCGCATTTTAAAAAATAAATAAATAAAATAAAACACAATATTATCAAAAAATTTATGGAAATTAATTACCAACAAAGTTATATTTTTATTAAAAGTTAACACTAGATATGTATACACAAAACTAAACTATTAATAAATAATACTTAAATACGATTAGTTGTTTTAGCTGTTGTTGTAAACACATATCAATAATACCACATAAGAGCTAATATTAAAATTATGGTATGATATTATGTAATAAATTGTAATAGACTGGTGCCAATGATATAATCGGGGTCTAAAGTTTGGTAACGTGTGTTCAACAAAAATTTATTTTATCCAAACGTGTCCTCACAAACAACAATACCATGTGTTGTCTCTCCTAAAGACAAGAATTCAGAGATTTTTTGGCGACTATTCCATGCAATTAAAAATTTGTGTCGATTTCTCAGTTGAAATACTAAACAAAAATTGTTTTATTAACAAATATTTTTTTCATTTAGGCGTCTAATAAATACCCATTAATAGACTTAAATAAATTGTTGATAACAGAGTATATTCAGTATTATATACACAGTAAGTGTATATATATATATATATTCACTACTACTTATTGCTTATTGATACTGACAGTCAGTTTCAGAGGGGTATAAAAGTCGAGCACTTGGAGAGCAATGATTTCAGTTAATAGTGTGAATTCCCAAACCTATTATATATAAGTTGTGAAACTTGTTGTATACCACAAAAAAGTTTTGTCAAACAATTTTTAATGTTTTTTTGGATTCATATTTAAACACTGATCCCAAAAAAAGTCGACATTCATTCAAGTGTTAAATAACTTTTTATAATAACAAACAAACAAAAAATGAATGCTTTAATTGCTTCAGTATTTTTCATCACATTTTTCACAACCGATTGTAAGCTCATTATAATATAATAAAAACTTTTTTTTTGTCAATTGTCTAAAATGTTTTGTTTGTTTTTTTTAAATAAAAAATTAGGTTTCGGTTATGTGTTGAGGAGGTCGGGTGATAATAATCACGATAACCATCAACTGATTGATCTAAAAGAGATGAATACAAAACTACACGAAACACAAGTTATGCTTTTGATGAAACGATTGCGACCAAAACGGGATGCAATGGATAACCTGATCTATGAAGTGATGGCCGATACAGAAAAAGATGAATTGGAAACCGATTACGATAAGTCCAATGATAAGGCAGAGTCGGTTAGACATAGACTCAATGAGCGCATTGAACACGTGGATCTTGTACTGACACATCTCAAAGATATTAAGAAACACTTCGACAGTGTCCACAAAATGACCAAAACGCTGGTCGAAAGCGACGCTACGGCAGACTTTGTCAAGAAGTTTGCCATCGATCAGCTCAACGATTCCGTTAATAATGTCGAAAAATGTCAACAATGCTGGACATAGACCCCGGGACGACCATACCTACCACTGTCACATAGAAACACATAATATCATTATAATTATTGTCATCCATCCTATCGTTAAACATATACAGACATCTAAACCATGCATTCATTTAATGTTTTATTGTAAATACTCATTAATATTGTTTTAAAATTCATCAATAATTTATGTAAATGTTTTATATATATATAAATAATATATATATTTAAAGTTCAAATAATTTGTATCATAAACACCCCCCCTATGCTCTCCAACTCTGTATTTCTTGTTCATAAATTTTATAAAATAGTTTTATTTAATTTTATATGTAAATGATTTTTTTAGTTATAAATTAATTTAATTCATAGTGCAATAATAAATTTTAAAAAATAATTATAAACGTATTTTTATTATCAATTTATTACACAAAAAACTAATTAATTTCAATGCTTAAATTAAAATATTTAGTATTAATAAAAGTATTTGTATTGTTATTATGCAAGTTTATGTACAATTTATTTTTATTTATTCAAATATAATTTAAGGAATATTCTAGTTTATTAAAAGCAAATTTATTTTTTTTTCTAATGAATAAAAACTTTTGTGATAGTTTTCCTTATAATATTTATCATAATATTTACAAAAATCATAAATTACTGTATGATGTAAATTTACAGTAAGTTTCCTATAATTTTTAAAAAAAAGTAGAACAACATATAAATTGATAAATTTATCGCTTAATTTTATTATTCCGTTATATTATAAGTATAAAACAGTAGCTACTTATGTAGGATTACAACAATTGATATCAATTGTGATATTGTATTATTATTATTATTATTATATATTTTATCAAATGCACAATAAATATAAATTGCAATTACTTAAGATAAAATTAATAAATTAATAATGTATATGTATAATACATATGTATGTGTAACTATACTAGTAATTTTCTGGGATATACTGTATTTTTACAGTTAAAAATTATTTTTAAAAATAAACTATTCAATTTTTTGTATTTTAGTTATTTAAGTATTGCTTGCTATAATTTTTATTCAGTATAGTAATTAATAGGAAATAATATACATTTGCATTTTGAAATATACCTAAACTAAATAAATATTTCACAAAACAAATAATTTTAATAAATAAATATTTAATTTTTAAGTACATCTGTTTATTTAATTGTATAAATATTTTTAACTATCATATATCTAAAAAATTTGAGTTGATCATGTTTTTTTTAAATATATATATTTTTAATTATTAACAAATTTTGTAATAATAAAGTCATATCGTTGTTTTATAATATCGATGGTACAAAAAATATATTAAAATATTATTTCCTAAATTATTGTGTACTTTAGAATTCAAACAAATATTATTTATTATAATTATTTGTTTTATATATAATTTTTATAAAATTATATAAATTCTATATTTAAACTGATTTTTTCTACAATTATTATTATTTGAATTTATAAAGTGCTTTACAGTAAATCAGATAATTTCAAGCTTACATTCAAATGACATGTTTTTACAACCATTTGCTGTAATCTAATAATAAGTTTTTGTTAAACATAAATATTAGTACTAAATATAACACTATCGATAAAAAATAGTCTTTTGAAATACCATTTAAAGATTAGCTCATATGATGTATACGACAATCAAATTAATTAATAAAAAAAACTTTTTTATTTGATATTTTAATTAATAAAAAATTATTTAATTAACAGATATAAAAAAGGATACATTTTTTGGTAATTATTACAATTATAAAACTTTTGATTAATAAATGTAAATAAATAATAATATTATTTTATGTATTCAATAACTATTGCTCTGTTATTTATTACAAATAAAATAGAATTTTTAGGATATAAGTTAAAAGTATAAATAAATAACAATACTTTAAATGTATTAATTAAGTTTATATTGAATTTAAATATATTTATATTAAATGTAGTCTAATTTTGAGATATACTATTACTAGTAATAAATGGTAATAAATTAAATATTATATAAATAATTAGTCTACTAATATATGCATAGACAGCAATATCAGTGTACTATATATCATAATTTTATTAATACAGTTATGGCTCTATATGTGTTATCGGGTTATTTTTAAGTGGAAAAATTTTGAATCAATGACCAATATATCATATCAACCTATTATATCAAACACGATGTTGAATGTGTTATAATTTTTCCAAATAGGAAACAAATTATAATAATGCTTAAAACATTTTACTATATATTTGTTAAAAATATTAAAAATAAGATTTAAAAATATTATATATATAAATAAATATATACTGTATATACAAGTATATTATATCATTTGCAAGTTTGCAACTATAATTAGAATTAATATTTAAGAATAATTTCATAATAAACTTGTTTTTTTCTCAATAAATATCGCAGTAATTATTTATGTTTAATATCAAAAACAATTATATAAATATTATGAATAAATTTATATATGCTAAACAAATATAGACACTAAATATTATAAATTAAATTAAATAAAAAAATATTGTTGTATCATTGAAAAACTAAATAATTATCACTTAAAATAAATTTGTTAAATAAATGTTTTGAGAAAATTCAATCTCTTTTGAAATAAAATGATAGATTCATTCACACTGTCAGAGATAAGACAAGAAAAATATAATATAACCTATGATTTTGTGAATATATGTTATTTTGAACAAAATTTTTACTATTAGAGTACATCCACCAAAACTGTGGGATAATTATTATTAGACCTTGATCATTGAGTGATTGTGTCAATAGACCTAAATATTATTTTAAAATAGCATTTTTTGTTGTTGTTGTCCACCCATAAGGTTCATCATATGTAGAGACAATGTTTCCTATTGTGGATCCATATTATTAAAACTTCATTCAGATTAAGTTACTTTTCTATTATTATTATTATTACAAAATTAATTAGGTTTAAACAGGTAATTGAAAAATACAACTATTAATTGTTTTTTTTGTTTCTTCTAGCAAAAATATATATATTTTTAATTTTAATAATTATTTATATGACTATCAATCATATTCATAATTATTTAATTATGACAAAATTTCAAACTTAATAAGTGTTTATGAAACAGATAGATAGATATATAGATAGGAAATAGACCAACATTTCACTCATTGGTTTTTTGATTGGCGCCGTACTTATCAATTGCTAGCAAAAGATTGTCATAAAAATAAGTCATATAATATTATTATCAAAAATAAATTTCATAATTGATACACAACTTTAGTTAATAACATATCTCTCTCTCTCTCTCTCTCTCTCTCTCTCTCTCTCTCTCTCTCTCTCTCTCTCTCTCTCTCTCTCTCTCTCGGAGATCACAACATAATCACTATATTTGTCAGTGATATTCAATATTTTTTGAAAAATCTATTCAATAATATTAAATATTTGAATAAATTTTATGTCTTTAACGCACTCTAAAGATATCGTGTATTAGTTTCTAATGATATTTGATGTCTATATTTAAACAAACATTTTTTATGACTCAGTAATTAGTAGTTAAATGACAATTTAGTTGACAATTATTGTAATATTATAGTAAATTATATAAATACAATAAATAACTTAGTAATGGTAATTTATTAAAAATTGTATGAAAAATATGTTTTAACACATGATATAAATTTAAATTATATATAGTATTATTAAAATTGATCGATAAATTTAATCAAATTTATCCTATTTTAAAAATTTACGGTAACTTATGTAGTATATAGTCTGCCACTTGCTATCTCAATTGGCATCGCTTTTATATATTTTTACAGTAAATATATTTCATCTTTTTCAACTTAGTTGTATATATATACAGTATATATTTAACCAAATTATGAATATGTTTAATTAATTTTTGAATAATAAAATTATTGTTTTTCAAAAGTTATTCACAATAATAATAAATTAAATTAAATTATACTATTATTACTTTGTATTAGTTTGTATATAAGGTATGATTAGTACAATTTTGATTCATGAATTTTATTAAATAATAAAAAACAACACAAAATTATTAAATATTACCAGTAATTGAAAATATTATTTCATAAATAAATGAAATACTTTGGGAAAAACTTAAAATGTAATTAATTTCTAGTTTTTTAGTGCCAACAAAACTAATGTAAAAAATATTCATCAGTCTAGCAAATAGTTAGAAAAATAGTATATTTTAAAAATTTTGACTCAATCTCCCTGATCACTGGTCATTGACATTTATGACCCCTTGAGGTCAACTTTAGACAAAATTATAATTTATATCTCAGTATAGCAAAACTGACCCATAGTCCTAATCTACTGTAATCTTTAACTGAATAACAACTATAATAAATTATTGATAACTACTGTAGGGTATAATAGTAAATAAAAATAATAAAACTTCAAAATAGTAACTCATTAGTAATAATTTTGATATATTAAATTAGTATTACTGTACTAATATACCGGTAAAATTAAAAAAATAAGATTTTACAAATGACAATATAATATATACAGAAAAGTAATGGAAACTATTATAATATATATATAAATTATTTGTATGTATATTGTATATAATTTATTAACATTATTGATTAGAATTAATTAAAAAAATTAAATTTTTAATACCAAAATTAAATTACAATTTCTAAATAAATTTATACAGATTATTAATTTTTATCAAATAAACATTTTGGTATTCATTTTAACAACGATTTTGGTCAGCATAAACAGCTAAATAATATATATATAATAATATATTATAATAATTGACACAAATTTTCAATCAACTAATGATCATTATTTTTTTCAATTAAACAGTTTTTTTGATTGTAAATCAAAAGATTCAATGCTAATCTAGCGGTTGAAATTGTCGCCCAAAAAAAACAAAATTGCCATCAATTCAATCGATCAATGAATTTGATCGCTAATATAGCCATTACTTTGTGTCGAATCGATTGAATCGTTGATAATTTGTTGTGATTTGTTGTGTTTATTAAACTTAATCTCAAACACTTCTTGTATTGCCTGTCGAAAACACTGGAAGTTATAGTCAATGAGTCCCTGTTTGTCGAAATTGTCTTCGCGAAGAATACAGACAAGAGCTAAGAATTTGTTAACTTCTCGCAGATAGAGAACTGTTCCCGAATTCAGTTTGATTGTCGACGAAGAACTGCTGTCAAATGTACTGTTCTCGCCATCACTTTCTTTAAGACTATTATTTGAATCACTGGATGGAAACAAATATGATGGGATCAGTCAAAATTATATGACATTTATAATTAATATTATAGTAATACTAACCCATATATACAGGAAATATCTATAACAACGTCGATCATATCGCAACATAATTCATATGATTGCATGTCTACCGGGGAATAATCGGTGGCAATATATATCTTCGAGACGACATCAAAGAGAAATGCCTTTTCGATACCAGAATTCTATAATAAATTTACAAAAAAATACATATATATAGACATAATGTAACGGTAAATAAATAGCTATAAAAATGCATTTACTGTTATAAATATATTTAATAGATTCTCAAGAGTGGGCAGCTGTGGGATCAATTTCTGGACCACTTTAGAAAAGGCTTCAAATATTGAATGATCGTATATTGAAGTTAAATAAAAGCTAAGAAGAATACTCTCGTCGCCGCTGTCCATAAGATCTTCATTAGCTCTCTGATGGATATCTCTTTGGGTCTCGATTTTATGATCATCGGATAGTCCATCAACTTTGTGAATAAACACTTCAAATTTTATATCAGGATTCACTTGATGTGCCTTTTTGACCGTATGATGTAATTTGGACAACGCTTCCATATAGTCGTCCTTTAAGAAACAATAAATATTTTAGTATTAACCATAAAATCGTATCAAAAAAAAACCTAAACCCTAAGCTATTGTAAGCCTACCTGTGCATCGATGACAAAGACGAGTGCACCGCAGCCGCCAAATATGTTTTCCGAGTCAAATGTCGAGTCAAAGAAGTCGATCTGACCGGGAAAGTCCCAAATTGTAAACGACACGAATGAACTGTTGCTGATATCTGTGACATATTTCAGTTAATAATAATAATACAATTGATTAACTATTTTTTCAATATATATTTATGTCTTTTTTTAATTTAAGATAATTATCGGCTATATTAACATAATTTAGGAAATACTACTAATAATACATTGCTATTAAATTTAAAATCCTTAATTTCCTAATAAAGAAGTGTTTTATTATTTTTTTTGTGTTTTAAATTTGTTTAATCATAAAATGTTTTTTGTTGTATATATTATTTATACAGTATTATCAACTGATTTCTGTACTAAATGTTAATTACCGGTAATTTAATGGTAATAAATAATTCATTATATCATATCAATCATTCATTCATTACCATCTTTGACAATCTTATTGGTGCTCTCGAGAAACAGTGTCTCGTTTGGTGACATCTTATGGAAAACCACTTTCTGTATGGACGACTTGCCACTCCTTTTTTAGTGACCAATTACATAGCGGAAAGAGAGAGAGAGAGAGAGAGAGAACAAGTAGTTGATTAGACCATCAATTATCACTATTAATCAGTTGGTCACAGGTATGTCCGTTTTTTTCTACATACCTACGCAAACCCATGATTAGTATGCGTGGTTTGACTTCACCCGTAAGGGCCGACCTATCGTTGACATCATTGGATTGCATGTCATTGTCGTCGTCCGGATATCCGAAGCCCTTAGGGAACGACCCAATCATAAACCTATCGTCCTCTTCATACCCGTCCTATCAAACAATACATCAAAAAACATTAATTACTATATTATTATTAAATCCCAATAAAATATTTTAGTGATTATCTCTTTTTGATAATCTCTTTGAAAATATAATCTCAAAATTAATCAGTTTTTAGACACAACAACAATAACAACAAAATAAATGCCTTTAAATAAACTATATTATCATAATTACCATTATTTTTGATGAAAATATTAATTTTAAAAAATTAAAAATTGAATAATTAAAATATCATTTGTGCAAAAAAACTATTATAAAAAACTAATTGTTTTAAATTAATTGAATTAATGGGCGATTTTGACGACAATTTTTTTTGTGGTTTCAATCAAAATAAACAAATTATTATTTTTGAAGCAAAAATCATGTGATAAATAATAAGATATTATTATACAGTATTATAGCACACAATAAGCCATTATATTATATACTGTTACATATTTTGCTACTCAATTGTGTCCCCCATTTGCCCCTAAAAATATTGTTATTATAAATATTATCATATTATTAAATATAATTTTTTACCAATAATTTTTATGAATAAAATAAAATTATTAAGCTAATATTTTATATACTTTATTTTTAAAAATTTATTAATTTTATTTGTGTAATAAATTTTTAGATATCCTTATATATTCATTTTCATTTATAATATACCGGTATATAAATAGTAGTGATATATATGTATAGTTTAATCATTAGAGAAATTCAATACCTTATGTGTGTATTATTGAGTTAAAGCATTATAAGCAGTGTTGGCAGAGATAAAGTGCATGTATAATACAAAGCGTATTATACAGTATAATACAATGTAAATTACATGACAATTTTGGCTTACAAAATTTATTTAGCGCCACCTAGTAACAAAAATACTAAAATTCACAAATAAACACATGTTTTGTAATAATAATTATTTTTCTATTTTAAAAAAATTTGAAATTAGCTATTCAATTTAATTCTAGTATTGAAATATATTAATAAAAATAATTACTATTTATTTTTAATAGTTTTAGAAAACAACGATTCTAATAAACGATATTAAAATTATGTAATAATAATAATTTTAATAAAAAAATGAATATTTTATCATAGTTAATGTAATTTTTTTATAATTGTAAAATACATCCAGTACATTGTATTTTACAGTATTTTACAAAGCCAAAATTAAAAACCTTGTATTTTTCCAACCCTGCTTATAAGTTAGTCTGTCAATGATATTATAATAAATTTAAAATATAGTAAAATATAATACTTTTATATTGTTTGCTAATATGTTTAATCAATATTAATGAGGAAAAAAACTTTAAGCTTTTAAGCTAACATACAATTAAAATGACAAAATATATGGATATAAAGTGTATAACTTCTAATATAAGTTTAGATTATTATAAATTTTTAATTTTATAAAACTAAATATTAGAGGATTAGTAGGTATATGATGTTATAGTCTATAACTTATAGATATTTAATTAATAATAATAATAATAAGTATAGTTCATTGCACTTATTATGATGAGAAAAGGGGTCATTTAACTGTCCACCAAAGTGTCCACTAATTTGTAGAGCACTTCCCATACATTATTTTTTTCACAATACAAATCATATAAAAGGCAAAACTTTAAGCAACTTTACAATCATTTTTATTATTTATTAGTTATTAATTTGATTTATTGATAAAAATTTTCAAAAAGTTTGAAAAAAACATGAATACAGAGTTAGTTTTAATCAACTTTTTGGTTGTCTTATCAGTGGTTTGCGGTCAAGAAGTTGCCGCTCCCGAGACACCAATGGCCAGTATGGCTGTCAATGTTGAGTCCAAATCAACCAATGATGAGAAAGTTGCCGTCGAAGATGTCCGAAGCAATAACAACAATAATCCGCAGAGAATAAGTATATGTAAAAAAAATGTTAAATTCAGTCAATTGTTTCTAACAATTGTTAATTTTGTTGGATCTAAAAAACAAAATAGCATCGCCGGTCATCATCGTAGAGGCACCTAATTTGAATACACCAGTTGTTATCGTTGAGGAAACTGCTGGAGCAGTGTTGGCCAACAATACAAGACCATTGCCCGACGGTGTCAAACGGTGTCACACATTTCGGGAACGATTTACTGGTCATTGTGTATCGTTTCCCAGATTTTTCCGATGTCTTCGTGATGGAGGAGTCGTATTCCCAGACTTTTCAGGCAATTGTCGTCTCGAAACAGTTGCCGGTTGTTGTGTCTTCAACTTCTTTACTCAGTTGACTTCATAAGACATAAAAGTTTAGGTTTAAGATTAGTTTTTCAATCAATATTTAATTATTATATTATTTAAAAAATTAAATATAGTTTTATTATTTATATTTTTTTTATATTAATTAAGTGACAAAAATCTTATTATTGTGAATATATTTACCGATTTATTTTGATTTATATTTAAAATTATTTATTTAAGATTTATTATTTAATAAAAATATCATTTTTATCAATTAAACAAAAATTTAAGATTCAATTATCATTAAAAATGAAATTACAAGAAATTATTGAATAATTTTGATAGCATTTCAATAAATAATAATTAATATTACAATTAATGTTACGATCAAACAGTTATCCAAACTTTAATCATAATTAACACATAATTACGCAATCATTTGATTAAATTGTAAAACGCATTAATTAATTGTCTAATCAATTGTGAAATACTTTTGTATTGAATTTCTTTGTGAAACCAATACTTAAAATAAATAATTATTTTGTAAAAGATTTTGTTTGTTGTCTTAAAGACCGGACTTTAAATGTTAAGAACGGACGACGAGTTTGAGCCCGACTACGAGCCCGACATCGATGGCTCACTACAGGACACCGCGAGTCAACAACTGAAGAAGATCCCGTCCAACAGTCAATTGAGTTATTTAAGTCAATTGAGTGAGTGGTCAGACAATGAACCACAGATACCACTGGCTATTGAAGGATTGAATGATCAACCAATTAATAATAATCAGTTGATTGTTGGAAATGACGCCATAGATGAGCTACAAGACGACGACGACATTTGTATAATCGAAGAGCACTGTTCGGGTGGAGGTGTTTGCGGAACTGGTGGTATAAACTTGGTGTCCATGGATCAGGTCATCAGATTAAGGGAAAGTCAAGACAGACAGCCGGTATTTCCAACGACTATTGGAAACTCAAAACGCAAACAAACTGTTCCCAAGAAAATACCGGTCATTCATTTGATTAAACAAAAATAATTGATAATAACTAACAGGTAATCACTATTTTAATGTATATATAGAAAGAAAAATCAAAGAATAGCTCAAAGAATAGCAAAAAGCGTCAATTGGCCAAAAAGTCGACAACTCAGAGACAGTTGGCCCGTAAAAGTAAACCACAGTTGCAATTGGCGGCTAAGTCTACGATCAAATCAATTTATTTGCCTCCGGTTAAGCGTCGATTACGTCCCGGACAGAAAGCGCTTCGGGATATCAGAAAATATCAACAAACAACTAATCTAATGATGAGAAAACTCCCGTTTCAACGATTGGTCAGAGAAATTATGACCCAATTTATTGACAATCTTCGCATACAGAGCTCAGCACTGATGGCCCTCCAGGAGGCGTCCGAAGCCTATCTCATCAATTTGTTTGAAGACTCAAACTTGTGTGCCATTCACGCCAAAAGAGTAACTATTATGCCGAAAGACATGCAATTGGCCCGACGTTTGCGCGGAGATCGATATGATTACGTTAGTCGTGAATCTTAATATAATTTGTTAATTAATTAATCGTTAATTCAAATCAAAACAATAATAATTTCTCTCATTTGTTAATTTCTTTAAAAATCATATTTTAATTAATAATAAAATAATGGCATAAATAAATGGTTAAAATATGCTTTTAAATAATAAAAATTAAGAAATGCTTATTATTTCAATTTTTGTTGTATGTATTAATTGTTTCTGTATTTCATATCATTTGTTTGTTTGTATGACATTTATATTGTTGTTGTTTTTTGTTGTTTACTTTTTAAAAATTATTTTATAAAATAAATTATTAAATTAATTAAATTAAACTAAAATTTATAAGTTTCTTTAAATTTTAAAAATCTAAACATATATTTAAATTAAAAAATTTAAATGATTATATTTAATTAAAATAAAAAAATCAATGACCAAAATTGAGATATTAGGATGTTTTTAAATAAACCGCATCGATTGGGTATATCAACTATACTAACCGTCGATGACTGACAAAAAAAATTTGGTTCAATTTAAATCAATATAACTAAAACAAATATAATAATAATATAACTTTGTATAACATATATAACATTTGCAGTGAACATATTGGGGCGCGAGTGATAGGTTTCGTTTTAAAAAATATAAAAATCATAAATATATTTCAATAATAATAATTTAAAAGTGAACAGTTGTTTGTCTGTCTATTTTTTTTCAACATATATGATACCTGTGTGTGTTTGACGAAATCAGTTGGCTAAGAGGACACGGCTAATACATATATTACCATAATTTTTAAAATATATAAACAAACAATAGAGGGGTCACATCAAGTCATCTCTCTCTTATCCGATATATATATAATAATAATAATAGTATAGATTTGATATATCTTACTTTTTCTTATATAAATATAACTTATATATATATGTATAACATATACTACTTATTATATATAAATATATATGTTAAGGGGATGACAGTAATTGTGTAAATTAGTGGTTTAACTTAATAATAATATTACATATTAAAAATAAATAAATCTATTTATATATATATACTATTATCTATATATATACATATACAGTATATATATAAGAAGAGATGATCGAAATGTTAAATATATATAAACTTATATTTTAGTTGACCCGAAATATATATATACTATTCGCACAAACAATACATGACTCTTAGCCAATGATATCGATTTTCAAAAAAATTCATATTGTTTTAAAATAATTGATTTAAATAATCCATTAATTGGCATAATTTAAGAGCCGGTAATTAAAAAAATGTTAACTTAATAAAAAAAACGATAAATTTTATGCAAATTTTCACACCACTCATGATAGCGAAAAGTCATCGTCAAACAAATCGGCGATACCTTCGCTCTCTTCGAGTGTAAAATTATAATCCTCTTCAGAGAGAGGCGGCTCTAAGTGCAAGAATGGCAAGTTTGAGGTCGGGTCAGATGAGGTCAATGCGGTTTCATTGGCATATTTAAGTTGATCCTCAGTTTGCATCAGATAACTTTTGCTTCCCATGGGTCCCATATCATCGTCTTCGGATATGAATGCAAACTTGAGGGCAGTTTCGGTATCAGCTAATTAAGACAATTAAAATTAAATTACCGGTAATTAACTTTTTTAATTAAAAAATAATTTTCTCTATAATAATCAATCAAAACCTTTTGATCCATCGTTTGTATTTTCATTGGTGTGCATTACATCCGAATGTATTGATTCTCCCTTTCCATCATCAGAATTAAGTGCAGTTCCGTCATCTTCGGGACACAAATACACTTCAATCTCTCCTCTTTCACTTTTAAGCCATATTTGAAGACTCTAAATAATGTCAAAACAGACAACATATTTATAAATATAATTGACAACTATTGCAAAATCAAAGTCATGATGACATACCTCTCTAGGATCAGGTACTTCCAGTTTTGTCTCTGAGGGTGCTTTAATAGCTATCACAGTCTGGTCTGAAAATTCTTTGATACCCCTAATATCTCGATATGTAACAAAGGCTAGCCTCTTGTTTTCGATATTTTCGTGAGCGGACCGCAAGTCATTGTTGGCCATTTCGATCATAGCGTTGAGCTCTCGTTCTTTGGCATCGAGTCTTGCGTTTTCCATTTCCATCTGAATTTTCTTAGCGATTACTGTTTCAGATTGGAAGGCATTCGACGAACAAGCCTGCGGTCCGCCTTCCATGGAACCACCCTTCCATTGGATATTATTCTTCGATGTCTTGTGCAATAAACCGACGCCTTCTAAGACATTAGTTATGTCATAGATTCGGCGCTTCTGCACTTGTAGTACAGTTGAGGCCTCATTTAGATTTAAAATCTATAGAATAATAAAAAAAATGCAAACAATTATTAAATTACTAATAATATAACAATGGTTTATATTAGTTGTATTGATCTGATAAAAACATACGCCATCGGATGCATTTTGAAGTAAACTAATGAATTTGCGAGTCAACTGTCCCAATGAAGTCTCGTATCGATGTTTTCCTTTAGAAGGAGTGTTGCTGTCTTCGGAAACGGGTGTTTGAGGACTACTTGTTGTTATTTTATATTTAGTGACAGTAATTGGTTTTGGCGGTGGTGTCGTCGCCATATTATTGGTGGCATTATTATTATTGGGCACCACATAACTGGCCACAACGGGCCTGACATTATTTGGTAGTGAGGGAGCTTTGAATATGACTTTTGAAGCAAACTTTATTGTGCTCACAGTTGGCTGGGTTTGAGGTGTTTCGGCACTTTCGGCACCGGAATCCCAGTTGAGCTTACGTTTTACCTATCAATACAAAAGCAATTAATTTTCATTTACAGTACAATTTCATTAAGGAAATCAATTATTACTATTACTATACAAGAAAAAGGGAAAATACCTAAACATTAACGATAGAGTCATTAAGGATTAGACCTAAAAATTGCTTAAAATAGTCATTTAAAACGATAAAAAAAAGTTGCCTAAACTATGATTGTCATTGTTTATAGCAATAAGATAACAACTACTGTACAATAATTATATACATTGTATTAATGTGTATTAATGTCATTCAATGGACATTTAAGAAAATAAGGAAAATTGTTTGTCTTCTAAAAAACACATTAGATATACACAGTATATATATATAATTAATTTAATATAATGAACGTATTGTGCGGTTATTTAAATTAATGTCATATCAAAAACAATTGTTTCAATTGTTTTTTAAATGTCTCTGTAATGTCTATGTTGTTTTGGAGTCGAGACAGTGGAGTCTATGTGTGTGTAATATTAAATGATAGAGAAAACACTGTTAACAATAAATTCAATTATTATAAGCTATAATAGGTTGACTTGAAATCGATATCAGACTATTACTATTAAGTTATTATTATTAAAGTTTTATATCACATGTACAGTAGTATAACATTTTGGATTATATGCCAAATACTGTGTGTAATACAATTAACAGCGTCTATATAATATTGTTATTAGACATGAAAATATACAATTGATTACAAAAATATTTTTGTGATAATTTATATAAATGTATTGAATTTCCAATTAAAGGGCAATGATTTCTCAAATTGTTTGCCAACTTTTTTTTTATTGTTATTATTGCTATTAAAATACTATATATACAAACATATCAATATTATTAATACTGCTAAAGGAATAGTTGAGAAATATAGTTAAATATCTCTATTAAAAAATGTTTATTACATTTCATATGCTCTAAAAAAGTTTCAAATTATTTAAAAAACCTATAATCATATCATATATGTTTGTGTGTGCACTGGAAAAAACATACACAACTTTAATAACTATACAGACTTCAGACTAATAGACATTTTCAACTCATATTTGGCTACAAAAATAAGGTTAAGTGAAGAGATTTTTTAAATAAAGAGAGGATAAGGAAGTGTTTGGGTAAGGCTTTTGCAAATATATATATATATAAAACAGTGATAGCTATCAGTCTGGTAGTAAAAATTGTTAATTTTATAAAATATAATAATATTATGTTGACATCACATAATAATATTACAGCAAATTAACAAACAAACAAAAAGCACTACAACTCTATAATAGTGTAATTTAGAAAAAAATAAGTGATTAGATATTAGGCACACAAACAAAAATACAATATCACACACACACACATAGATATTAAATATACATTTCATAATATATTAAATGTTATACTGTATATAAATTATATATATATATATATATATATATATATATATATACCGTATATATAGACTTTAAACTTGATAATCAATAATAAAAATTTTATATATTCAACTTCTGTACATTCAATTAATCATTTATACACTTATTAATACTGTATATATTTTGTTGGATGCATGTTTGGTTAGTTGCCTGTTAAATATGTATTAACTTTATTTTTTATTATTTTTGTTTTACATATTAATACTAATAATAATAGCTAACTTATGATAGACCAACTAACAAATGGTTAACAAATGTGTGGCGAGAGATAAAAAAAAGGGTTCACAAAATAATAATAATAAAAAAGCGTAAAATATAATGAGTTTTTTGTTAATATAAATAAAAACACATTGGAAGTGAAAAATATATTTCAAGCAACAAAAATAGTCATTTGAATAATCATTATTACATCGATATTATAGACTTTTAGAGGCAATAAAGAGTTGCAAACATTTTGGATATATATAGACAAAAACAAAGACATTTAGTTGTATTTTATTGTAATGATATGGCATTTATTATATACAGTATATACTGTGTATAAATCTCAATACAGCACTGTTATCTCAATGACTTCTCATACCAATAGTGCAAAAGGCTTGTTGTGTTTGTTATTATATGGCAAACATTTTCAGAATCGTTATCTTATCACTAAAGTTTTTTAAGTTAATTGAGAGAAAGTGTAATCAAATATTAATCAAAACACCGTTAGTATCGGCTTATTATGTATTGAACAAAAAAAAGAAAAGAGTCATCACTTAGGAAATGGTGGCTAAGGTTATATGGATGGGGAAAAGTTAGGGGCTTTTAAAAAGTGAGGCATATGTGTGTTGAGGGCATGGGTTGGAGCACTGGTTAGGGCAATGTGGTTGGCATACAATACACACATACCTGTCTAACATTGTCCTGTTGTTTCTGTGTGTGATTTGTGGCCAAATAGATGTGGTCTCGGGTCTGACCGAACCGATCGATGAACGTATCGCGTGATAAGCCATTTGTTATGTATTGCTTGGCGTCGAGTTTGGACATTGAAGACAATCACCGATCGTTTAACCACTTATGACTCGATTGTTTGATTCAATTGTTTCTTCTTCTTCTTATATTATATACAATTTTATATATCATATATATATTTATAGATATTTTGCCGTATGTTTAATATATATGATTTTATATACAGATTATATATATGTAAACTTTTTTTTAAAAATAAATAAATAAATGTATGATTTGTTTGTTGTGACAGATAGTGAGGCACCGATACGTTTTAGTGGTGGTGTGGAGGAGGGAATGGGTTTGACACACGACAGACTCTTGAGGACACAACAGACGGTAGTCTATATTAAACGGTGGCAACCAATGGTGATCTTCAACCAAACAAAAAATAGTCAAAACATCTATTAAATTATTTAAAAAAAAACAAAGATATTTTTATATCATATTATTGCTGTTATTATTAATAAACTAAACATTTATTATTTATTAATATTATTTAACATTTTTTTTAATAATAATATTTTCATTAAACAAATATTTTTGCGTCAAAAAAATAATATGTATATCACTCTCAATACGGTATGTGTGAAACATACATATCAGATATATTCATAATATAATATATATATAAATATACAACAAAAAAAACAACAACAAAAAAGTTGAGTTAAATTTTTTAATTGAAAAACATTTGCGATATTTGGCAAAACATATCCCAAACATATAAAAAACTATATTATTATTAAAAATATATAATTAAAAAAAATAACAACAAAACAAATTGATTATAAAAAATATTAATAATTATATTATTTTATTTTTGTTGTTTAAAAAAAGTCGCAATCGTTTAGTAGTTAATTGCATAAGTCTTTTAATTGAAAACATAGACAAAATGTTTGGCATTTTTTTATTAATAAAAATTATTATTATTATTATTATATCTTTTATCAATTGATCTCTACTTTAACACATATAATAGTCGCCGCATTGCATACACACTACTGTCCACTACTACTACTACTAGTGTTTTTAATACACACATACACAGCACTGACAGATATTTTATTGCTATAACAAACTACAGTATTATATTGAGTATTGAAGTTGTAATGCAATGCCAAACACATAACAACAGAGCAGACCATTGAAACTCCCTGTGCTCTCCACACAACTTCTCTCTCTCTCACACTTATCCCTCAATCATAACAATAGGTTTTTGTAGTGAAAACTTCTTAAAATTATTAACCATAGGCTATATAAGCCAATATGGTATCACACATAACGTGCCACATGTATGGGTCCCCCAATAGTATAACAGTACACGTGTGAAGCCAATGGTATACAATAGCCTACAGTGGATATTATGGCACGTAATTCATGTGCATTGGGTATGTAATGGACAGACAGGCAATCAATGGATTCGCGCCTCAGTTTGCAAATTGACTTTCAATTTAAATGCTGGCGCTTTAACTACCAGTGCTGTGATAGGTTGGGTTGTGGGTGCTGTAGGCGGTTACCCAATGCTAACTACTACTACTATACTGTATTGTAGTTTAATATATAAATGCATATTAAGGCACTTACTATCAAATTGATTACTAATTAATTGATTGTGTAATCAATTTATTGATCACACCATACGATCGCCGGGATATGTATCTACAGAATCGTGTCGTCCGATCGCAAATCGGTAACCATTTAGTGGCCACAATCGGGTCGCGTATTGTGGCAAACAAAGGGCACTTCCTTTTTAAATGTCTCGCATATAATAGCATACAATACTATGGCATAGCTTAACACAAATAGTCATTTTTGATGACACTTTTACAGCAATTACCTGACTGTCCATTTCGGTTCCGGTCAATGTATTCAAGGGCTAGTGCTTCGGTGTGTCCTCACTGGTCATTGACGATAAAATCGGTCGATTAGTTTGTGATTTAAATGTCTTTAAATGGTAAACAACAGACAACACACAAAGCAAACACACAGTCAGTCAGTCCGACACATACACAGCACAGGCAGTACAGCAGCACTACTACTATTGGGTTGCATTGACTCCGATGTATAGCAGAGTTGTATGTATGGGTTGGTCCTTAAAACCGGAGCTCACAATACAAGCGAAAAATATGTGCTCTTAAACAGTGTCTCACTTACTCTCCCTCTCCCCGGCACTGGCAGAGGACCACATTTGGGGTCGTGTAGTCTATCAGTATATATACACACATTTATATATATATATATATATATAGATGTATGTATAGACTATGTATATATAGTGATGCATACCATTTATACACACGTTTTTCATATATCTATGTCTATTTCACATATAATCAAAATACCTTTATATATATATTATTAAGTAGGCCTCTCATTGGGCTAACCCATGACCCCCTTGTCGACCCCCATAAACTTAAATGAATAGCTCTTTAACAATCACTACCAAAAAACCTATGGAAACCCAGTCCTCAAGACTATCGATATATAAATGAATTGCATTTTAAGTCAATTTATTTAATGGAAAGTCATCGGAAAATAATATTATTTTTTTTTAAATGTTAATTAATGAATATAACGGATGTGCTCATCATTAAACACAATAACATACCTGTGCCCATATATACATACATATATACACATAGACATACATAGTTAACATGATCAACATAACACCAATGGCATCTCTCTCTCTCTCTCTCTCTCTCTATGTATGAATGATTCAATACAATGAATACAATCAGTATTTTATTGTTTCAAATTCATGCCTAAAATCGTATGGTATTTTTCTCTCAATATTTTTTAATGATCTCTCTCTCTCTCGTAAAGCCGACACAAATACTACTACTATTAAAAAAGACACTCATTTTCATTGAACGCCTCACTAAACACTTTCGTTGAAATAATTATATTTTTATTTATAATATATTTTTCATAATTTTGATTATACATCCCGTATAGGCATCATCATAACAAACCAACATCCCATATGCATACAGTATAACCATCACCAGTGATGGCACACACATTGACACCACTTATTGTCTCTTTTTTTAAATACAATTGTAATCATGCGTTACAAACAAATTGTATATAACTTTTAAAACAGTTGTTATGCAACACAATTACATCATTATTGATTGATTGTGTCGATGATTGCCATCAAATGTATAATTGATAACTGATTAGATTATACTAATCGACAAATTTATAGATAATAATTTAAAATATATGGGAAAACCAATGCTATTAAACTTTTTTTTTATATAATTAAAGATAAAATTATTGGTTTTATAATAATAATAATATATAATCTGATATAATTAAGAGACACATTGCCGCCACATAGCTTGCGGGCCAATTGATCGACAAAATATTATTATTAACACATTAACTACTAAATTGACTAAAAACTATTAGAAACAACAAAATTGCTTTAAATTTCTAAAAATATATTTATATTATTTGAATGAAACGACAAATGATTTGCAGAGAAAAAATTCACTCCGAGTTATGTCCGGCCAAGAACTTGGACATGAAATCCTTGGGCTTAGGATTGTGGGTATCCTTGAAATATGCCATAACATGAGTGTGTTGTTTGAATCGATTGATTGTCTCATTCAACTCCATCTGACCTTTGATTACCAACATATCGATGACACGAATATCAGTAACGTCTTTGTTATTGATAAACATTTCCCGAACTTTGTCCCGAAGTTGTCTTTCAGTGACCGGTAGCTCTAAATCCAGTTTAATATACGGCACCTGTCTATACCATGCCTTATACAGGTTTAGTACACGTTGTCGGGCGTCATCCTTATCCAGACTGAGTATTGGCTTCACTTGTTTGCCAACTTGTGATATCACTCTCTTGGATGCCATCACTGGAAGCGATGAACAATCAATTAATCGATACAAATTCAAGAAAATCATTAAAAACATCAATTATGACTCAATTTATAAAAATTTTTGGACAAACCATACACTAATTGGTTGATAAACGGATCAATTTGGTGATACTTGACTTTAATTTAGTAAATTGTGGCCAAAAACGGGAATATAATACAAATGTTTTTCAATTGTCCTCAAAATATCTAAATGTAAACCATATTTGTTGTCAATAACTATGTATTATGAGTCACGTGTCATACGTTTGTTTACATCAATGAATGTGTTTCTCAAATAGTGTTTAAAGAGCGCTAAAAATACAAACCAAATGTCAAATTTGGATTAAACATCAATTACGTCTCAACTATATTGTGACCCCTATTATATAAGTCAATTAATAAAAATGTTAATATCATCACTCCCTTAGTTAACGTTATTCATGATCAATGACTTTAAAGTTTTGGCGCAAAATATGTGACACCAGTAGAGTACAGTCTCACTGTAGACACTGTTCATACACTGGCCATTGGTTTGTATTGACTTATGAATGAAATGTTCAACAAATTAACTGAATTTATATGTTTTCCCTCCAAAACTATACATTTCTATCATTCAATACAACAAATGCATTGCTTTTTGTTGTGTTTAAAGACTTTTAATAAAAGCATTCAATCATTCATTTAAATCGATAGACATTTAAATCACTTTAAAAATCATTTTTTGGTCACTTTTACCCGATTTTATAGTTTACCGAACACTAAGAGATGGCCGACATTGAGTTGGATCAGCGTTTGCGGCAAATTCAGAGCCAATATCTGGACTTCTTGGACGATGATGTGAGTGTTTTTTATAGATACCATTGATTGCTATTATCGTTAACTTAATTAATTGTTGACCACTTTTTTGTGTCCAATCAATCCATAGTCAGATCAGGGCGTCTACTCGGATGCGGTCAAAGCTATGATCAAAGCCAATGAGTATCGTATTGTCGTTGATATCAATGATTTGCGTCGAAAACTACCCGAACGTGTGGAACAATTGTTGAACAATTCGGTCGAAGATATTATTGCCATTCAGAGGGCACTCAAAGAGTTTGTCACTAATACTAATCCCGAATACTCTAAACAATATTCGGATTTTTTCGTTGGATTTGAAGGCAGTTTTGGTTCAAAACACGTAACTCCCAGAACACTATCATCTCGTCATTTGGCGGCTGTAGTTGCCGTCGAAGGTATTGTCACCCGATGTTCGCTGGTTCGGCCAAAAGTAGTTAAATCCGTTCACTATTGTCCGCAAACAAAGAAAACAGTTGAACGCAAATACACTGATTTAACATCATTTGAAGCGTTTCCTAGTTCTTCAGCCTATCCGACCAAAGATGAAGATGGAAACCTATTGGAAACTGAATTTGGTTTATCAGTATATAAAGATCATCAAACATTTACCATACAAGAGATGCCCGAAAAGGCACCGGCCGGTCAATTGCCCCGATCTATTGACATCATTGCCGATAATGATTTAGTAGATAAATGCAAACCTGGCGATCGAGTCCAAGTGGTGGGCAGTTATCGATGTCTTCCAGCAAAACAAGGCTATTATACAAACGGAACTTTTAGGACAGTTATGTTGTCAACAAATGTTAATCTATTGTCAAAAGAGGTTTCAACCGAAATAACAGCTGAAGATTTTGAGAAATGTAAGAGATTTAGTCGTCAGAAAAAGGGTGATGTCTTTGAAATCTTGTCCCGTTCGTTGGCGCCGTCCATCTATGGACACGACTATATCAAGAAGGCATTGCTTTGTATGCTTTTGGGTGGACTCGAAAAAGTTTTACCCAATGGTACCAGACTTAGAGGGTATTTAAAAAAAATTTAATAAAAATCATATATTGAATTATTTCTAATATCTTTATAAATTTATTTAGTGATATCAATATATTATTAATTGGTGACCCATCGGTCTCCAAATCTCAACTATTGCGATATGTATTGAACTGTGCGCCCAGAGCTGTGGCCACTACTGGTCGAGGTTCATCGGGTGTCGGTTTGACCGCTGCCGTTACAACTGATCCCGAAACACGCGATCGTCGTCTAGAAGCCGGTGCTATGGTTTTAGCTGATCGCGGAGTTGTCTGTATTGATGAATTCGATAAGATGTCGGACATCGATAGGACAGCCATTCACGAAGTTATGGAACAGGGAAGGGTTACCATTACTAAAGCTGGTATTCATGCAAAACTTAATGCCAGGTGCTCTGTATTAGCTGCAGCTAATCCTGTTTATGGTCGAGTATGTTATTAATATAGAATTTTTATGCATTTTATAATTACCGGTAATTTATTTTGTTTGTTAATGATTAGTACGATCAATACAAGACTCCGATGGAAAACATTGGTCTTCAGGACTCATTGTTGTCTCGATTTGATTTACTATTTATTATGTTAGACAAGAATGATTTCGATACCGATACGGCTATTGCCGATCATGTAGTTAATATACATCGATATCGGGCACCGACAGAGGCCGATGGAGAGCGTATGTTACCCATTGATTATTATTCAAATAATTTGATGATTTCAATGATTTTAATTAATTATGTTTTGTTTTTTGGTTACTTTTTGAATAGCTCTTCCAATTATGAGTAATGCAGAATTTTTGTCAACAAAAGACTCGGAAAAGTTAGATAAAGAGGACACAGAAACTCCTATTTATGAGAGACACGACGCTCTACTACATGGCAATCGTCCCAAATCGTAATTTCATTCATAATTTTTTTAATCAATTTATTGATTTAATTATTAATTAATTAATTTTTTTTCTTGTAGTGAAAAGATTGTTAGCATACAATTCATGAAGAAATACATTCATATTGCGAAAGCCATTAAACCGAAACTATCGAAAGAGGCGTGTGATCTGATTGCTGAAGAGTATACAAAATTGAGATCACATGAGACGGACACATCAGAAATGGCTAGAGTATGACTTAACAATTAGATATGATTCATAAAATTTATTATATAATTTTGCTAATGTTTTTTGCTTACCTTATATGTATAGACCCAACCAGTAACTGCCCGTACTCTTGAAACAATGATCCGATTGGCGACAGCTCACGCCAGAGCACGGCTATCCAATAATATTGAGATGCGCGACGCGACCATTGCTGTCGAATTGGTTCAGTTTGCTATATTTAAAGAGGTATTAAGTCGTCCGAAGAAAAGAAAGAGAGAAGACGATGAGGCAATGGCTGACGAGGAAGAAAGCGATGAAGAAGATATGGATGTCGATACAGAGCCCAGATCTCAACCGAAACGTCGCATGAAAAAAGAGCGAACAACTGATGATCCGTATGAGTTTGATGAAGAAGAAGTAGACGACGATGAAGCAGAAGAAACTAAATTGCAGTCAAAGATTAAGAAATCACAAACAATAACAACGGTGTCCACTGAAGATCTTCCCAAACTTAGTGATCAAAGGCTCAAACAGTTTCGATCGTTTTTGTCGAAAGAATTTCGCAAAGTTAATGCTCAGTCGTTACCACTTCAACAGATCTATGACTCGGCACTGAATGAAAAGGAACTTAATTTTACTAAATTGGAAGTCCAGTCGGCGCTCAATTCAATGCAAGAAGATTTCAATCAAATCTTCATATCCAATGATATCGTTATTTTGGTCTAATTTTTAGTACATATTTTTAAAATTAATTTTTTGCAAAACTGATTATCATTTTAACCATTTTAAGCATTTTGTTATTACGGCAATTAACTTATACCTCTATATATATTGAATTAAACTTCAATTTAAGTGTTATATCGTGTTTTATAAATATTTTATATTCACTACGGATTTGATTCAATTTTTATTATGTATTATCATTTATAAAAACTTATTAAAAATTTAATTGTCTATTATTGTACTCTTTAATATATGATATATTGTTTGCACCAAAGAAATAAAGATAAATAAACTTCTGTATATTTAATCGATTTGTTTAAATAAATAGTTTTACTTTTCAAGTCATTCAAATGATTTTATTCTATATATATTCAAACTTTTTGAATATAAATATTATTTTCAATGGAATTTCTGACTAATATTTACTAAACAAATATCATCACAAAAAAACATTAAAACAAATTGTTTGAATCATAATGTGTGACGAGTAGTAATAAAAATTTTAAAAATTATGATTACAGTACAATATACTAATTTACAGTATATAATATACTGTATAAATATTACTTATATATAAATATTATAAAACATAATCTCATAATGAGAGTCTCATTAGAAAAGTCATAGAAACTATTTTAAACATTATTTTAATATATTTAATATTCAATTTTTGTGAAACATACTGTTACACTACAATACAGTACAATACAAATATTGTTATAATAACTTATACTTATAATTATACTGTAATTTATTTAGTTTAAGTAGTAATCAGTAGTTTTTATTTATTTTTTATCATTATATTCATAATATAGTACAATAATTATTGTATATAAGTGTTATCATATACCGGTCTATGTTATGGTTGGATAGTTGGCATAGATAATACTTACCTGTAATTGAATATAACAATAGTTATCAACAACAAAAAATAATAATAATCGCTAAATATAAATTGATATCATAAACTTAAATATAATACATGTATATAGAGTTAGTGCAATTGAATAGCAATAAAATTCAATAATAATTCAATAATAATTCTATTAAAACAATATTCAAAATATTTAATTGAATTTAATTATAAAATAGCGTGTTTTTTAAATAAACATATTATTTAGTATTTTGAAAATATAATTCAAATATAATTTATTCAATACATACATAAATTTATATTCCATCGAAAAAAAACTGATAGTTTCAATATCAATATCAAACCATAAATTCTCTTAAATTATTATTTACTGCAATTAAAACTAAATTAACGGTAAATTACAGATAACCCCCATTCCTATTACCGTAAGCCAATTAAAATATAAATGAATCTATAAATAATTAAAATTAGTAAAATCATAATTTATTCATCACAAATGTTTTTGTTAAAATTGTTACAAATAATAAGCTTTAAAATAATTAATAAATTAAATAATTTAAATATTTTATAAGTTAAAATAAAAGTAACTTTTACTCATAATTAAAATAATTCAAATAAATAAAATTTAGATTTTTGAGCATTTAAATATAAATTTATATATATTCTGTAGTATTATCGTAATTTTTTGTTATAGAAAATAAAATTATTTCATTAATCAATTAGCAATTAATTTGCTCATTAATTAAAAAATATTATATAAAAGCGATTATTATTATTATCAATGCATATAAGAAACACACAAATTTGTGTTTTTTAAAAATGTTTTTGTTTTAGTTAAGCACTCTCTACGGCATCAGTCTTGAAGCCCTTTCCCGTCCAAACAGTTTTCAATTGCTCGGGAATTGGATGTTCAACCTTTACATAAGATTAAATAAGACCAGATAATAATAATTGATGTTTTTTAAAAAAAAACAAATAATAATAATACTTACATAATCTCCAGAACTGTTAGGAACCGATATGTTAATACCGGAGCTCTTTGAGCTAATAATCTCACACTTAAGTGAATCTTTGCCCAAATAAAGCTCAAAGTTGTCCACCTTATCAACAGTTACTGTAGGCACTACTCCCATAGCCTATTGTTATTATTATCAATGGATAAAAATTCAATTAATACGGGTAATAAAAATAGCATATTTAGCAAAAAAAAAAACTACCTGTGCCTGAATCTTTTGACTGTTTATGAATTCAACAACAGATACAATATTATCGAAGACGATGGAAAACTTCTTGGAGAGATCCACAGTAATTGAGTTGACTTTGCCTTTGACTTGGAGGACACAGTCTTCACATTTGTAGACATTAATCGATTGATTCATTTCTGCGTTTTCGATAATTAAGTTTTTCTGACCGATTTGATTCTCAATCATCCATTTTTTGCCCTCCAGTTCAAACTTGGGTGGCATTCTTGCCTGCTGTCTCTGTGCCCCCAAATTGGCCGGTTTAGCGGCTATTGTTGGCTTATCGGGAACAACACTTGTTGTCCGAAGTGTTGGATTTTTGTGCGTTTGCTGTTCGGCCGAAACTTTACGCAAACCTCTGGTTACATCGGTTCCCACATTCAACTGAGCAAATAATGCACTCCTATCGTCATCTTTGGAGGACTCATCGAAAAAGCCGGCGGGCGGTGGAGGCGGTGGTGGTAGTAGTGGACCGCCAGCCGAACTACCGTTAGACTGAACTGCTGTAGCTTTGACTCCTCTGGGATTCCAAGTTAGACCTGTTGTATGATATTGTTTAATGTATGCCTGAAGTCCAGTCAAGAATGATAGCCAAGCTTTAGCCCATTCGGTGTGTGTTTTATCCTTTTCCTTATAACTGACCAAAACTTTGTTCGTATAGAACTGGGAGGCGTCGACCATCTCTTTGACGTACGGACCGGGAGTCGGCGATACTGTGACCCAACCCAATGCCGGAATCGACTCCGAAATGGCCGACAAATGAACAAAATGCTCGTTAGTTCTGTTCTTTTCGCGGAAGTCTTGGATTTGCGATATTTGTACGGATGTCGGCTTCAATAGGTTTATAAGTGTCGAGTCGTCCGGTTTGATAGACTTTGAGGCCGTCACTAGAAAGTCGCGCTGATATCTGACCGCTACCGACACCATATCCGAGTGCGTCTTCACATGACCACCGATTTTGGCCGACAGCGACAAATAGTTGTTCAATGTATTGGCCAATAGGTCATCAAATGCCAAAACTGATTGACTTAAATCTTGGGTAACAATCAATAAAATAAAACATTAATTATAATATCAAATATATCATAAATAAACACAAATTGGTCATCAATTTTGAGGCCAACAATCAAAATGATTATCCAAATTACACGTGTCGTCGACCACTCCCTCATTAATAACAATAATAATTATAACTTTTTTTGTCAACAATTTAATTGTCAAACAAATTGTTAACAAAAAAACAACATTTAAATGAAAAAAAATCAATTGATTTACTATAGTATAAAACCATATGTTATTAAACAACAAAAAGTTTTATAATTAATTATATAATTAAAAAATAAATAAAATTATTTGTGGCAACAAAAAAAAGTTATGTATAAAAACACTGTTTGTTTTTTTGACATTTGATTATTGGATTCAAATTTAAATGACAAATAAATTTGTTTTTTGAAACAAAACAAAAAAAATTTTGATACAAACCGGACATTGTTTTTCAAAATAATAGTCAAAATCAATAGACAAATAATTGAATGGCAATTATGAGAGACACTAATTGTATGATAAAAATAATAATACTATTGTTAAAGTGTGTGTATGTGTTGTGTAATAATAATTTAATAGTCAATCAATAGGTGTGTTACTTATATAATAATAATATTTTCAATACAATTATAGTGCAAATTAGTGTTGTATTGAATGTCTTTGAAAAACAACAATTTTGACGTCAAATATGGCGTTCAACTACTCCTATAATATGATCTCATCGATTGCATCACAGATTCACAACACTATTATATTCTATGGATTAGTAAATAACGTGTTGTTATTAATAATAATATTTATGAAAAAAACAGTTATGTATTGACAGCAAAAATCAATGTACAGTAGAAAAAACCGCACGTTTTTCAGCTATTTTTAAGTTTTAATTTATATTATTATTTTTGTTTTTCGTTTTATAATTAGATTTATATTTATTGAAAACTAAAATTAAGAAAAGTTTATTTTGAAAAAAAGTATTACAAATATAAATACAAAAATACTGTTTTTTAAAAGTACATTAACCATTCAGATATAGATTAGATATAAAGACTAAAATAATTATTGTTTTATTAAATAATTTTTATATTTATTACCATAAAAGGCTATTATATAGTGGATAGAGATAGACAATGAGTGAGTGATTGAGAGAGAGAGAGAGAGAGAGAGAGAGAAAGAGAGAGAGAGAGAAAGAAATAACAGGTAATAAATTATTACTAATAATGCAAAGAGAAAGATAAAATATGAAATAATTTACTAAATATAATATTTTATATAAAAATACAATTTAAAAAGATAAGTAAATAAGAAAATATTGAATAAATATAGAAAAATAGGAGGCAATCAAAAATTAGAATAATTTATACCCCAAGACAACTAAAATAGAAAACAATTATTAAAAAAAACTGAAACCTAATTATAAAGATAAAACCGAAATTATTATACATTATTTTGAAATTAAATTTTTCTCGAATAATATTAGGTTTAGATTTGTTTTGTTTTTTTTCTTTGATTAACGGATTCGACTTTGTATTGTATATTAGTATCTTATTAACAATTAATTTAATATAAAATTTATATATTTTTTCAAAGATAATTTATTAAACAAAATTATGTTTGTTTAGAATACTAGAAAACTTTAGATATACTGTGTGTATGTTTTTTTTTTTTGAATAAATAAACTCTAACAACAAAAAATATCTCAGGTTTTATATTATTGAATACTTATTAATAGATTGCACTATAGTGTCAACGTTGGTGTTTAAGATAACTCGTTGAGGAAGAGAGAGAGAGTATCCAAAAATAAATACTGTTTGAGGTTTTTTATATTTTGTTAGCAAAACTTAACATTTTTAAAGTTCAAAACTAATTTTAAACAATTTTTTTCTCTCTTCGCTCTCATGTATATTATTCTGTAAATATTGACGAAAATGTTTGCATCGATTCGCGCAAAAAGCTATAAATCTTAACACATATTGTTTGCAAAAATCTTTTTAAACAATTTGTTTATCAATGAGTGAAAAATAGCTATTAAATCAACTTATTATATAATATATATACAGTAAATACTGTACTTTATTGCTGGTAGGCGTGAATTAGGCGTTAATTAATTGGTAAATAATTTATTTAAATAATATATTAAAATACAGTATATATTCAATATTAAAAATGTCTAAATATTCAGATGATTATTTTATAAAAATGTTACTTATATTAACTAATTGATATTTAGTAATTTATTACCAACTGCTTAACTAATAACTATCAAGTAATTTATAATTGTCACTTATAAATTAAACAAATTAAATTATTAAGCTATTAAATTATCTAGTATAATTATCTAACTATAAGACTCTATGTTTAGCATACATACAGATATATACTGTACATACACGAGATAAACATGTTATTTAATTAATTTAAAAATATAAAAAAAAATTTTTGTACAGAATTTTATCAATATTATCATTAAAACAACTTATATAAACTACAAGTTATAATTTTTATTTATTATTATTATAATATATAGAGTAAATATACAGTCATTTTATTATATATAATTCTCATGTGAATTTAAATACTAAATTGTGTCATATAAAGTCATTGACAGAAGGGTGGTAACTGGTTTTTGGATACTATCTCTATAACCAATTGAGCTAGAACAATATAAATTTTTTAGGAAACATGGAATCATGGAACGGATAGCATAATATAGTTATATTATTTCTCATTGCGCTTATGTAGCTTAGCACCGGTATGTGCATTATCTCAAAAACTACAAGAGATAGCACAATAAAACCAAAAGTATAATATACTAGGTAAAATTTCATTAGACACGTGTTTCAGGATTTTTCTAAAAATTATATCGTTTTTTAACAAAAAATTAAAAAATGGGAAAATTATAAAACTTTGATATGGAATATTAAAAAAGTGTCAAGGTATTTTGTAAAATTTTTAATAAAATTAAATTTTATTTTTAATGCAGAATAATTCGTATATTAAGTGTTTTTAATTAATTTAATTAAATAATAGTTTATTTAATATATTATGTATTTAATGTATTAATATAGTAAATTATGTAATTAAAATATAAAACATGTTATATAATAGAAAAATAATGATTATTAAATAAACTATTATTTATTGAAATTAATTAAAAATACTTAATATACGAATTGTTCTGCATTAAAAATAAAATTTAATTTTATTAAAAATTTTACAAAATACCTTGACACTTTTTTAATATTCCATATCAAAGTTTTATAATTTTCCCATTTTTTAATTTTTTGTTAAAAAACGATATAATTTTTAGAAAAATCCTGAAACACGTGTCTAATGAAATTTTACCTAGTATATTATACTTTTGGTTTTATTGTGCTATCTCTTGTAGTTTTTGAGACAATGCACATACCGGTGCTAAGCTACATAAGCGCAATGAGAAATAATATAACTATATTATGCTATCCGTTCCATGATTCCATGTTTCCTAAAAAATTTATATTGTTCTAGCTCAATTGGTTATAGAGATAGTATCCAAAAACCAGTTACCACCCTTCTGTCAATGACTTTATATATATATATATATACTATATTATATACTGTATTATATAAATTATATAAAAAGATATAGTAAAATACAGCAATATATTTATATTGTACAGTATAATAGTGATGCAAATTGTGATTTTATATATTTATTGATACATTGGAGATGACAACTCTCAGCGGAATAGTTATCAAATAATATATGTTTATATATTTATATTTATATATACTGTATATACTGTATATACTGGTATATACAGTATATATGAAAAAGTGGACAATTCATCATAAAATATTATATTACTATATTATGTTAATTTTATTATTTGATTTCCTTATATATATACTGTATATACAAAAAACAAATAGACATTTATTGTCAAACAATTTAGATAAAAATTATGTACAATATTATTGTTTGAAATAATGTTATATTTATTATCAATTATTTATTTTTAAAATTAAATACAGTACTTTGTATTTTATCTATATATAATTTATTTTATTTATTACAATTATTTTTTTAATTTGAATAGAAATTAATGTCGAAATTTTCTGTTCTCTTATTAAATACTATATATTAAACATCAAATTGAAAAAAGTAATTATCCGAAACACAGTTGGATTGTGGGCTAAATTAAAACATATTTATATAAATAGTTTCATTGATTGTCATTTGTGTTTATGATTTATGAGTGCAAATTATTACTGACTTTTATTTTTGGCTTTTTTTATATTAAAACCTTTTTGACTCAAATAAAATGGCAAAAAAAACTTGAAGAAAGAGTGAGAAAGAGTGGGAGAAAAATTGTAAACCATTTTTTTGTTACTTTTTTCAAACAATTAGCGCAAAAATATATGGGTTTAATGAATACGACAGTGGCTTTTGAAATAAAAAGAGAAAAAATAAAAAAAGATTTCCTAAAAGTTTTTTGTTATAATTGTAAGAATTGCCAAAAAATTATAACATTTGTTATATTATTTTCAAGATAGATATGCCACACAAATGTCTTAAAACACACACACACTATGTATTGTAGACGACATTTAAAAATTATCTCAAAAAAATGTAAAGCCTTTTAGGCCATTAGTTTAATTTTTCTGATTTGAGTTCAAAAATTCAAAGACTCATTTAGAGAGAGAGAGAGAGAGAGAGAGAGAGAGAGAGAGAGAGGACGGGGATATGGGATGTCTGTCTGTATTCACTTGAGAAGCCCATTAAGAATTGCCAGTAATTAATGCATTATCACATTCCGGTGCCGTTTGGGTCGTGAATGGCACTCATTTTAGTTTCTCTTACTCTCTCTCTCTCTCTCTCTTTCTCTCTCTCTCTCTCTCTCTCTCTCTCTGCCGGTGCACTACTTTATGAATTATAAGTCTATATCATCACTACTAAGGACACTGTGTTTTAATTTCTAAATAATGCGATTAAAATATTTTTGGTGATAAAAAATTGCTTCAAATTTATGTGACACAAAAAAAATATTTATATATAAATAGGAAACAAACAAAATTTAAATTCAAATAATAGCACAAAAGTGAAAACTATAATCAATTAACATTTTTATTTTGTAAGCTAAAAAAACTAAATTTACAAAAATATATTATACATCAAAATATATTATAACTTTACGTAAAAAACTATACGTAATTTATAAAGATATAATTAAATATATGTTTAATGTTGTAATATATATTAAAATAAACATTGGCTTAAAATAAGTTTTTTTAGAGTAAATTTTAATTATTTTTAGTCATTTAATTCATTTATCGATTTTTGAAACTAATATATTTTGATGAAAAATGAATGAACCGAAAAAAATGAGTAAAAGCCGAATAATCATTGACTTGATTTGAGTATTTGCTATCAATTAAGTGTAAAATTTATTACTTGAGTACATATCGCCAAAATATTTTCACTTAACTTAAAAAAGTAAGGATAAGAAAAATATGAATCGAAAGCGAAAAATATACCGAAAAAAGTAACTAAAACTAAAACCCTTTATCTATGCATTTGGTTACCATTTAATGGTTATGTGATTTAGACGTTAAATCTAATGATTTTTATCTTTTTGATGACATTAATGGCACAAAACTTTATATGTCTTGCATTACTCCAAATGAATTTAAATTTTGTCGTTTTTTTGTTTGTTAGTTAAAAAAGTCGAGAAATA